AGCTAATGTAATTTTAACCGAGGAATAAGGAAAAAGGACTCGTTTGGTCGATGCGAAAGAGCAACAAGCCCATTATTACCGGATGGGTTCTGCCCCGCCCCGTTCTAATTACAAACTGGGCCGGTCCATTTACCAATTCCTGTCAACCTTTAACCAAAGACCATGAGCACACTCACCACACCGGTTATATTGGTGTTGCGAGTTTTATATATTAATTAAAATGTAAATAGTAGTCTGTTGTCTCAAATTAACGAAGTACATAAGTAATATCAATTGTAACTTCTATATATGCTCTACTTTGGAGATTAATGAATATACAAGAAATTTTCAAATATTGTCATATATATTTTTGGTATTTTACCATGTTTAATTCAACTATTGGGATACCACTTAATACTACGGTTTAATGATATTCTTCTTCACTTGTAAGGATTCTTACCAAAGGTGAATTGAACCACATTATTGCTAGCCCATTGTGAGGCTTGGCCTACTCTTCCACCCATTAGTGTAAAAATATCATTGTTCAACCACAAAAAAAAAAGGTAAAATGTGAAATAGTGATACTAGAGAGACCGTTTATTTAAATCATATTTTGTAAATCATCTGATGTGGCGGTTGATAATTGAATTCCTTTTTTAAATCATTAAATAAATAAATAATTAAACCATGCATCACATGTTCTATAAAATATAGTTTAGATATATGGTCTCCCTATTATTTTAAATGGAAAAAATAATCTGGCACGTAGCAACTTGTTAACAAGACTTTTGTCCCTCAAACACTGATTGGCTCCAAACAAATTAAACTGTGATCTCTTTGGATTGAGAAATAGCTCTCTATTGGGAAATATCCATTTTTTGTTGTGTCTTGCAAGTTTTATCGCTTTTTGGATGGTTCGATAATATTAAAGATAAGATAATGCTAGCAATTTCAGTGGGAGTGGCTTGTTTTCAAAAGAAATTTTGACTAGAAAAGAAATATAGAAGTCATTATTGAACCCAAAGGAAATTTTATGTAACCATGAAATTCATGTACCATGTGATTTCATTTTATTTTTTTTTTGAATTTTTATTCTTCCCTGTATTCGAATTTACAAATGTAGTTGCACTACGCGATTGAACAAACCGAGGAATTCTTCATCTTTAGCTCTCGTCGCTGCAAACCAAAGTTACAATCGAATGTTTCTGTTCTTGTTCTTGTTTGCTTGTTTTCTTCTTGACTGGAATTTGTTGTCTGGACTGGATGTTAGACGAATTAGTTTAATTTATTTTCTGCCTAACAAATACTGGTGACTCACTTTTCAAAGTCAGCTAAACACTAATTAGTGTGCCAAGATTTTCCACGGCTAATTAGTAAAAAACAAATAAGAGTCTTAGGGGGTGTTTGTTTCCCCTCACTAAAGTTCAGTGGACTGGACTAGACTAAAGATTAGTCCAGTCCCGTGTTTGTTTCCTGGCTGGACTAGTTTTAATGGGATTAGCCAGGATTCGCTTTCACTAACAACCTCACTAGCCGTTCTTAGCGTGTCCCCTCGAAAACCATCGGACTAGCTAAGAACTTCTTCGTTCTGCTCGAATCACCTCTCCGACCTCGATTTCGACGGCACAAGCTTCGGGCGCGGCTTCATCTCCATCGACGAACTCGTCGACTTCTTCATCTCCGATGATGACCTCGTCGATTGGGTCATTTCCGTCATCTTCTTCTCCTTCGCTATTGCCATGGTTGTGGCTTTGAAGCTACTGATTTTGGCTTTGCCTTCAGCTTGCCTCCCCATCGACTGGGTCATCTCCGCCATGACTGCTTCGCAATCTCAGTAAATAAATTTTTGTTCTGGGTTTTTGGGTTTATTTTTTTTCTAGTTTCTGGAATTTTTTTTTTCTTCTAGGATTTGCAGGTTTAATTGGTTATTGGAAGGCTTGCCTTTCTTTTTGGAATCTCTGAAGGCTTGGCGAATGGTTAACCAACAAAGTCTCTTAATTATACAAGAAAAGTAAGAGATTGATGCATAATTTGATAGAGAGAAAATGATGGAGAAGAGAAACGAGGAAGGGTAAAGGAAGGAAGGGGAAAGAAAATTTGCTTGGGTTCACTGCCCTTTAATTATTAATTTTTGTATAATTTTTGAGCCAAAAGTGAATTAAAAATGGCAAAAAAAAAAGTCTGTGACTTAGTTCGACACTGTACCAAACATTTCACTAAGCTAGTCCAGTTTAGTCTAGTTTAAGTCAGTCTAGTTTAGCCCGTGAAGCTAATTCAATCCGAGATAGTCCAGTGCAACAAACGCACCTTTACAGTCTAGTCCCCCACCCCACTCGCACGTTCCTTGCAATTTCATGGTGGGACTGGGACAGCATTTGTTATTTGATTTCTTTTTTTCTAGTCAGGTCGTGTTTCAATTACCCCCATAAATAAAAAAACTGAAAAACCAATTTGTGATAAAGCAGCAAGTAAACAGAGTAAATATTGTTGTTTTGGTAAAGAAAGTTATATATTCGTAGGCAATAATACATGTAAGTATTGTAGCCAATTTTATATATATATATATATATATATATATATATATATTTTGAGTATTTCCAACCCCAATAATACATCATGGAACGGCCAACGCAATTACAATTCGACCAGCCAAACATATATTGTTGGACAATCGTTGGAGAATCGTATTTATGGGGAAGGTGTATATTGTTGGAAAATCGTATTTAAGGGGAAGGGCGTTCATTGAATTTCTAGTTTTTAGAGAGCATAAGTGTGGGTTTTTTTGCGTGTGTTTTCCTTATTCGTTTTTGCTACGTGAATGCTAGAGTTTTGTCTCCCAAAATACATTTAGTTGTGGCATTATAAAGCCAGTTATTAGTATAGAAGTTTTGCTACCATAAATAAAATTGCATTTTTTGCCAGTTTTACAAGCATCACACTCATCTTAAACTGAAAAGGTTGAAGTACAAGATTAAGGTAACATTTCTTATTATTTAATTTCATAAACATGATTATAATTTGTTAACTCAAACTTGACAAAGTATTTTCAGTTTTTTTTCAAGTAACTAGAGTAGAAGTATTGCTACGAGTAAATTGTCAAAGTTAAAGGCACTTGGGTTAAAACTTATGTTGGCCATAACTTTTAATTATACATATTAATAATTTCACAATATATATACCTTCTCATAATAAAATTCTTGTCAAATGACTTTTATAAAAAAAAAGACTTTTTTTTTATCAAATTCCTTGCAACCTTTTATATTTGGGATTGTGCATTATAGTGCATTAGTGCTTGTAAATTGACTTTGAAAATCTGAAGAATTAGTGCAAACAAATAGGTGGCAAGCATGACTTTGATGTCACAAGTAGATGCCTTGTTTACATATGTACATATTTTTAATATTTTTCTTTGCTTGATACAATAAAACGGACCATGGTTAAAGAGACCATGATTTGGTAATGGCACCATCACATTACAAGTAGACTTTATGTTTTTGTATGTATATACTGTTCATTCAATGTTTTGGATCAATGTATCAAAACATACCATCATTTGGTCATGATACCTTGAAAAAATGTGACCTACATCGTACAATTAAACATTAAAGTCATTTTCATTTGCACATTTATCAAATATATTTAAGAGATTGCGCATCGCTCGTAATAAATAAAAGGACTTCCGCTTGCGCGTATGTTTGTACAGAAAGGCTAGTATTTGGAAAGTGAGAAATTACGTTAGGTTATGGTTGGTAAATATTTGTAGAGAAAGTGAAATGCTGAAACAAGAGGAAAAAGGCAGAGCAGAGAGATGCAAGTTCATTGAATGAGAAGCAAGCACACAGGAAAATGCATGCACAAAGACCAACTTAAAAAAAAACGATATTATTACTCTAATCGACACTAAAATATGGGGAAAATGTTTGAACTCAGTACACATTGAGTTAAAAAGAACTGTTCAATCTACTAGAGCAAGACTAAATGAGAATTTATTCCTTAATTTCCAAACATAATAATAATTTTTTTATAACAAAGATTCTGTTGTGAGTAACTATTAGTGATATGCCATTTACCAAGACTTTAAGTCAATAAGCCATGATTGCTAGTGATTAATGGTTAATAAGCCTTACTCCTTCAGAAACCCACCAACCCACCAAAGAGGCAAACACTTCGATGCCAAAACTTTACATGGTCTTCTCTATTTTAATCCCGATTTGCTAATCTAGTCAAATTTGGTAGACTTCTTGATTCATACATCGGTTTCATATGATAGTCTCGAAAGTTTTATTTTAAAATTTTGCCTTTTTTAGCAAATTTTCATCATTTTTCGTTAAAGCAACCGATATCGATATTTCAATAAATTTGCATATCAATATTTCCACCTATAACTATATTCCTACACTAAAGTGTGAGGAAAAAATTGAACCCAAAATACAATGAATTGAAAATAACTACTTTATTCAGTCAATCCACCGTTAGTAAGACTAAATTACACTTTATTCCTTAATTTTCAAGCATAATAATTATTTTTTTATAACAAAGATCCTGTTACGATTAAATATGTCATTTACCAAGACTTTTGAGTCAATAAGTCATGATTATTGATTAGTGCTAATGTAAAGTGGTTTATAAAGCCTATTTAACTCCTTTCTCTTTCAGAAACCCACCAACCCACCAAAGATGTTGATGCCAAAATTTACATGATTTTGTCTATATTATAATCCATAGTTGAGATTCGACGTTATTCCTTTTACTTGCTCATTGATTCCTATATATATTGATTTTTCTGCAACCAATTGGGAATTATACATTGACTTCTCCAATGGATACCTTGTGTGCGAAAAACTTGTTCAAACCTATCAATCACCTCAATATTTCTCACTGCTTTCTCATTCTCTTTTTGGCGTCTTCGTATCTACCCACTGATATACTCTGCTTGGGTGATACCGGAACTCCGAGCACTAGGACTGTGAAATCAATAATATGCATTGAGGAAGAACGACGAGCGCTTCTCAACTTTAAAAATGACCTTGTTGACCATTCTGGTAGGCTTTCTTCTTGGGTGGGTCACGATTGCTGTCAATGGGAAGGGATTTCATGCGACAACCGCACCGGTCATGTTGAAGATGGACCTCCAAAATCCATATCCATATTTCGATTTTTATGATACACGAGATGAGCCGGCGGCTTATGATGAAGAGTCTTGCTTGGGAGGTAAGATAAATAATTCTTTGCTTAGTCTAAAACATTTAAATTACCTGGACCTAAGCAACAACTTTTTTCGTAGCAATCAAATTCCTACGTTCTTTGGGGAGCTTAAAAGCTTGCAGTATCTCAACCTTTCCTTTGCATCATTTGAGGGAGAGATTCCCCCTTCTTTTGGTAACCTGTCAAGCCTGAACATTCTTGACTTCGGGAGGAATTACAACTTATCTTCCAGAAACTTGAATTGGCTTTCTCACCTTTCTTCCCTGAAATCCATTAATCTCAGAGACATGAACCTTAGAAGCACAGGAGTCAGTTGGGCATATGATATTAACATGCTTCCTTCATTAGAGTCACTAGATTTGTCTGGGTGCAGTCTGGAAAGCCAATTGCCGGCCTCCTTAGGAATGTTAAAAAGTTTGCATCATCTCAACCTTGGGGACAATAATTTGTGGGGCTCAATTCCATTCTCCATTGGAAACTTGTCATCTTTCGTGACATTGGACTTGTCTAGTAATAAAATGAATGGCTCCATTCCAGAAAGTATAGGACAACTCACCAACCTACTTTACCTAGATCTGTCTCATAATTCATGGGAAGCCATTCTAACGGAGACCCATTTCATAAATCTTACTAGATTACAACATTTTGGTGTAGGAGGCCGATACCAACCCGTGTCCCTCATTTTCAACGTGGCTTATGATTGGGTTCCTCCTTTCAAGCTCCACACTATTCAGATCATACACTGTCAGATAAGTCTTGGTTTTTGGGTATGGCTCCAATCTCAAACTGAATTGTCTTATGTTGGGCTTCGTGGTAATGGAATCTCATATTCCATATCAGAGGAATGGTTGTCGAAGATATCTTCCCAGCTCATCCTACTAGACTTGTCTTACAACCAATTTCGTGGAAACTTTCCATCTCATTTGAAATTTCCCAAATTAGAACTTATTGATTTGAGTCATAATCAATTGGAGGGTCCACTCCCACTTTGGTGGTCCACTAATGTCAAGTACCTGATTTTTTAAAGCAATCTATTTTCCGGGCCAATTTCCTCAAATATTGACCAAATGATGCCTAATTTGAATGAATTGTCTCTTTCTGAGAATCATTTGAATGGCATTATTCCTCCATCTGTTTGCAACATGCAAAATTTGAGTACTTTGTCTCTAAGGAGCAATCAATTTTCTAGAGAATTCCCTCATGCATGGAGTGTGGGGAGCAATATGGTGTTTCTAGATGTTGGTCACAACAATCTATCTGGTAATATTCCCACTTCATTGGAGGTATTCAGTTCACTGATGGTATTAAAGCTCAACAACAACAATTTTAGCGGTGAAATTCCTGATACCTTGCAAAATTGTTCTAGTTTGATGAGTATTGATCTCGGAGGCAACAAGTTATCTGGTAACATACCTCTATGGATAGGAGGATCAAAATTGTTGCTAAGGCTACGATTACGGTCCAACTATTTAAGTGGACAAATTTCCCAGCAACTGTGCAATCTTCAGTACCTTACTATCCTTGACCTTAGTCACAATAGCCTTTCAGGTACCATTCCCAAGTGTTTAAACAATTTGACTTTGCTGGTCAATGTTAATTATGATGAAGGCTATCCTAATTATAATGAGCAAGCCACACTGACACTAAAAGGAAGCGAGCTTGTGTACAACAACACTCTAGATTTTGTCAAGAGCATTGATCTTTCATCAAATAATTTAAAAGGTGAAATCCCTGAAGAAATAAGCAATCTCATTCAATTGGGCACCTTGAATTTGTCCATGAATCAATTGACTGGAAAGATCCCCTCCAAGGTCGGAAACTTGCGTTCGCTCGAAACTCTTGATCTCTCACACAACCACCTCTCGGGACAGATTCCTCAAAGCTTATCATCTTTAACATTTTTAAACCACTTGAACTTGTCTTACAACAACTTGTCCGAAAGAATTCCTTCGGGATACCAGCTTCAAACGCTCAATTTTTCATCAATTTATATGGAAAATCCATTGCTATGTGGCGTTCCTCTCTCAAATAAGTGCCCTGGAGATGATATTCTCCCAGCTAAGGATGCAAAAGATAAGAATGAAGAAGGAAATGCTGATAAGTTGTGGTTCTATGTCAGCGTGGTACTTGGCTTCATCGTAGGTTTTTGGGGCGTTTGCGGCACATTGATCTTAAAGGCATCGTGGAGGTATGTCTATTTTCAATTCTTATACAAGATCAATGATAAGTTAGCATTAGCAATTGCATTGAAAGTAGCTTGTTTCCGAAGAATGTTTTCTGAAGTTTGATTGTACTATATATATATGTGATGTTTTTCCCTTTCTGCTTTGTGTTTTTTGCCCTTGCTACTTATGTATTGAATAAAAGAATTCTATGTTTCAATAAATGTTCCCAGAAAAATTTATGTATTAACCTGGAATTAACAAAATAACACTTTGTTGATAAAGTAGATAAAAGTGAACGTATATTCTTCTCTTGGGTAAACTGTCGGTTTACCCCCTGAACTTTCACCTCACTTTCGATTTCCCCCCTGAACTTTTCTATTGGAAAATTAAGGACTCAAACTAATTTTTTTAGCCAATTTGCCCCCTACCGTTAGTTTTTCATATATTCCATCCATATTTCCGTTAAGTGAGACCATGTGCATAACATGTGAGGATAGTTAAGTCATTTCAATTTAAAAATGATTAAAAACTGAAAATAAATAATAATAATAATTTTCCCTCTATTTTTTCCCGCTAATTCCTATCCTCAATTTTAATTTTCCCTCTCATTCCTATGCATGAGAAATAACATATGGTGTTATTGTCTTCATAAGTAGCTAAGTTAATCTTTTTTTTGAAGCATGTACTACCATTTTTATTTTCTCTAACAAATTAATAATTTGACAAATGCTTATGGTGTTATTGTCTCCAAAGCAGTGCATTAATATAAGAAACATGTCCATAAAAAAGACTAGGGTTTCTTATATTAATGCACTGCTTTGGAGACAATAGCACCATTAGCATTTGTCAAATTATTAATTTGTTAGAGAAAATAAAAATGGTAGACAATAACACCATATGTCATTTCTCATGCATAGGAATTAGAGGCAAAAATAAAATCGAGGATAGGAATTAGCGGGAAAAAATAGAGGGAAAGTTTTGCTTTTTTTATTATTTTTAGTTTTTTAATCATTTTTAAGAGTGAAATGACTTAACTACCCTCACATGTTGTGCACATGGTCTCACTTAACGGAAATATGGATATATGAAAAACTAACGGTAGGGGGCAAATTGGCTAAAAAAATTAGTTTGAGTCCTTAATTTTCCAATGGAAAAGTTCAGGGGGGAAATCGAAAGTGAGGTGAAAGTTCAGGGGGTAAACCGACAGTTTACTCTTCTTCTCTTTTACACTTGTAGAGAAACCAAATACAACCACTTGTACTGCATCAAACAATGGTTCTCTATTATCTTCGAGCAATTCATTGGAGGACATACTTTCTTGGGGTCCGGTACACCAATTTCATCATTATGGTTTTTGAAAAAGCATTAAATTGATTACAAACCAGCCGTTTGAAGGATCTACTTTGAGCATCGTTCTTTTCATTTTCCATACCGGGTTCAGCACGATCAAGAGCCTGAGGGAAAAAAAATATGTCGATTTTACACATTTGTCAATGCAACCGGGTAGAACAGCAGAGAACTTATCTGCCGCACTCAACAGAGTTTGTCTCCCCAGCCCCAAAATTCAATCCTCTGGTTTCGGCTCCGTTTCTTCGTGTGCTATTTCATTTCAGATGGGATTCATTGCTACTAATTATATCATCGGCAGTTGTCTGAATCTAGACGTTTTTCAAGGTAAAATCAATTTAAAATTTTCAGAATGGCGGGGGGTTAATATAGAATCACTCAAGATATTATCAAGCAACTGAAGAAATAGAGATAATGTAGCTTGAATTATACTGGAAAGGTAAAATACTACATCAATCAAAGATTCCACGCGACCTCTCATCCTTGAATGCATGAAACCCTATGAACATTGCAAAATAATATGCACAAAAAGAGATTGAGATCAAACATATCTGTTCAGATGATGCAAAAAACTGAACGACGGGCTACAAACAAGAGTAAATCAGATGATGCAAAAAAAAGTTTACATCTAATTTAAGAGAATTTTAACAAAAAGCTTCCGGTACTATTTACTTTAACGAAAAACCATATTTTTACACTAAAAGGTCAATCCTGTTACTATTCACTTTACCCTTTATTTTGTCCGTATCGTTAAAAATCAAAATTTTCAAACTATTTTTATTTGTTTTCCTCTAATTTCAAAGTACAAAACTAAAATCTATCTATGTAGCTAATCATCGGACAAGTCAAAGACAGTACAAATATTAAAATATGTAGATACAAAGATACAATGAAAAACGCCTCACGAACCTAAATTCTACTGGTGAACAATGCATGCAGGCAGCAAACTTACCCAAGTTGAAGCACCGGAAAGAAGGCAAATCAATATTTTACTTGTAGTTTGATGTAGTTAGTGTCCATTAATTTTATTCAATTCATTTTATTAACGGTCAGAAATTAAAAAATAAGTGAAAGATAAAAACGAATATATGAATAGCCCCACTCATTATGTATATTTATACAAAACCCTTCTTGTAGCACTGGCGGACCAACGTGTCAACCTTTTGTAACCTAAGCTATTTACTACCTCTTTCATCAATGTATCAAAAGAAAATTACCTCTTTCATCATTGTGTTGAGAACAACACTCGTAAAACCATGAAGTAATCAAAGCAGAAATCATATGCCTAACTGTCTCCAAATCGAATGAAATATTTATGGATAAGATTTTACAATGAAAACATTCAGTTATCCTCGCTATACAATGAAGGCATCGTTTTTATTTTTTACTGAGTGTCACTTCGCGTTGTAGTGTTGTTAAAGTGTTAAATTCCTATGCCTATGTTCCGTGGGAACGTATTCTAGAAGACCAAATTCCATCGAGCTTTAATGTTAGAATTCAGAAGGAATTATAGCAAAGCTAAAATCCATCGTATGTTTTGAAAGAAAGTCATACAAAGTGATCAAACATACAATTCAAATGTTATAATGCCAAATCATATTCTGAAAATCACGTCCATTATAACGAAGAAACCTAAGAGGCCTCGGCGGCAGGTTGAGTCACTCCACTCTTCACCAACAGTTTGCTCAGCGCATCTGGCGAGCACACCTGGTACTTCACTTTACCCGAAGGCAAGACAAAGACTTCCGCTAACTCAAGCTTGTCGGATGTCAGACTAGTGCTGTCCATTGTCTTGCTGAGCACCTTCAGTGCAAGCTCAACCGCCTCTTCCCTTGTTATTTCATCCTTGTAGTCCTGCTTCAGCATTGACTGTGCTGCCTGGTTGTTCGCTCCAATGGCTGCAGCCTTCCAGCCGCCATAGTTTCCACTTGGGTCGCTCATGTACAGCTGAAAGCCGTAGTTTTTGTCCCAACCTGCAAACAGAAACGAAACGCCAAATGGACGGAGCCCACCAAACTGCGTGTAGCCTTGTTTTGTGTCACAGAGAGACTGGACTAGTTGCTCAACTGGCATTGGCTCTTGGTAAGCAAATGTGTAGCGCTGTGCTTGAACCCTGGCTGTGTTGATCAGGATGTTGGCATCAGACATTATCCCAGCCACGGCACATGCAACATGGTCATCAATCTTGTACATCTTCTCTGTTGATGTAGAGGTCTGAAGGAGCTTGGAAGTCACCTTCTTTTCACCTACCAACACAACTCCATCTTTCGACAATATCCCAATTGCAGTCCCTGCATTTCCAATGGCCTCCATAGCATACTCAACTTGGTAGAGACGACCTTCAGGAGAGAAGATCGTCGTGCGGCTGTCATACCTTCGAGACATTTGGTATCACACTGGAAGAATTACAATGAAATTGAATAAATACCAGCCCATAAGAAGTATCAATGGCAATTATCTCAGTTTTTTTATAAGAACATGGAATTAAACGAGTCAGGAATGCATCAAATAAACAAGTCATCTTCACAAATAGTATCTATAGAAACAATAGAAATACGTAGTAGAACCAAGAAATCATTGTTACTCATAAAAAAAACAAAACAAAAAAAAAAATTGTATTAGAAGAAAGGAAAAACACTAATTGAAGTGGCTCTTGAAATTTACCATACAGTGGAAAGGAAGAAAAGAATAGTTCTTGTAGGTTCCAGTAAATAAAGTTGAATTATTAAAACAAAATATACTTCAGCAACATCACTGAGTTCCAAACTGGACTTGAAGGGGTAAACTTTCCACAAAGTTGTCAGATTTAGAAATAACGCATAAAAGACTGAAATTCTCTGCAAGTTTTTGTAGCTGCATTTTCAATCTAGCTGCAAAATGTTCCTGTTCACATTATGCTGCTTCAAATCCAGTTGTTCCCAATAGCTGAATATCAAGGTTCCAAAAAAAATTGCATACATCTATACTACTGATTTTTCGGTGAATGGAGAGCTTTCCCCTCCCTAATGGCCTTAGAATATATCGATATAATTTCAATATGTGGTAAAGACTTCCACCCCTTTTTCTGGTTTCATGGATTGGGAATACAGAAAATATTGGTACGTGTCTGCAGATATACCAACCTCCTAACAAACAAATATAAATAACACATCTTGCATCGTCCACTTTGATGTTATTATCTGCCGCGATCACTAATACATGCAGTAAGAAAGTTACTATCTACTCCTTTAAGAGAACTGCTCAACTACAGGGCCAACTGTTCACGTATTTGCCAGAGGCAAACAAGTCTTACAGCAGTAGAAAAACCACACCAATTCCCACATCAATAAAGATATTATAACACAACCCTTCAAAGAAAGAGGTTGAAGTTTATATAGCATCAATACACATCTCAACACAATGGACAAGGCTACTAGGTCAATAACTAGCAGAATTTAAGTGTAGACTACTTCTGAGTACAACTTGAAAGGGAAAAGAACAGAACTAGATCCATAACCAATAAACCTGATACTAGCTAATTTACGAGAAGATTCGAATTTAAACCTGAAAACTATATAAATTGTTCCCGGTATCCAGGTTAAAATCCTATACCTTAATTACAACCATAGCTTATTTCCAGTCTTTTCTGACTCCAATTTCCTACCAAAACTATCGGGAATCGATAAAAAATACTACAAGTCCTATAGCAGTAGAAAATTCCTACTAATTTCCACATCCAATGAAGATACTGTAACTTAACCATTCAAGGAAACACATTGAATTTTATTTAGCACCGTCGGCGAATCAGAAAAGCCGACAAGCCTACTAGGTCAAGAACAAGCAAAGTTTACGCATTGACTACTTCAAAGTCGAACGGAAAGCATTGGAATTAGAATCACAACCAATAAACCCGATATTCGCTAAACATACGAGAAGATTCTACTTCAAAACCATGAAGATGAAAAATTGATCTCGCTAACAAGGCTAAAGTGACGAAATTCTCAGGAAATATCAAAATACTATCAGAATATGACCTAGAAATATCAGAAATGAACAAAAAGCTTCATCTTTTACCTTATTCGACTTCTAAAACCGCTGAAGAAAAGAACCCAGAAAAAAAAAACTGTCACTAATTCCTCCTAAACGGCGAGTAATTGGACTGATTGAAAACAAACAAACGGTACCCAGCTGGGGTTTTACTCGCTCTCTCCAACCCCAAAAATTTAAGCACGAATCAACCATGAAAAGCAATGCGTATGTAAATTCACGACACAAAATTCAAGTAATTTACACAAAGAGAAGAGAAGCGGACCTGATTGGGTAGATCTTGAGCAGTAGGGAATCGGAGATAGTCTTTGTAGCAGCAGGTGTGTTCTTGTATCTCTCTCTCTCTCTCGTTTTGTCTTGCGCAAAAGGTTAGTGCTCATCAATCTGGGCCGTCGCTTCGAAACACGACTTGGATCAGCCCAAATTTATACCCGAACCTTCGGTTTTCGACCAGTTATGTTTTATTTAAGAGCCCCTTTTTTCGACCAAAACCTTCGGATTTTTTTTTTTTTTTGGCTTTTTAGCTAAAATGATCATTGAGATTTGCATAACTCCTCATTTTGATCCCTGAGATTTCAAATCAATAGAAGTGGTCCCTAAGATTGTCCACCATTCATCGTTTTGGTTATTCCGTTAAAAACTTCGTTAAGTGTCCTGGAACTCTTGGCTAGAAGTTTGGGCAATTTTTAAAGCTTCGTAACTTAATCGTTTCTTAACCAAATTCGACCCATAATATATCAAAATGAAGATAGGAAAGTGTAGAATAAGATTATACCTATTTGGAAGCCTAATGGTTGCCGGAGATGGTCGGAAAATAGCCTCAAAAGTTGACTGGTCTGAGAGAAAATTGGAAAACTTGCTAGAAACTGAGTAAACTTTTAAACGTTCATAATTTCTTCAATACTCAACGAGCTCAAGTGATTCAAAAACAAAAATCATACTTCTCAATGAGACTAAGATAATGGTATCTTTTTAGACGTCTAAATCATCGTGGTTTGGTCGAAAAGCGGCTCAAAAGTGGCTAACTCGAGACCAAGATGGCCACTTTCGAGCCATTTTCCGGTTAAACCATGGCTATTTAGCCATTGAAAAAGGTACTATTCTCTTCCTCTCATAAGGAAGTATGATTTTCGTTTTTAAATCACTTGATTTCGTTGAGTATTGAAGAAGTTATGAACGTTTAAAGTTTACCCAGTTTCCGGCGAGTTTTTCAGTTTTCCCTCAGACCAGTCAACTTTGAGGCTATTTTCCGACCATCTTTGGCAACCATTTGGCTTCCAATTAGGTATAATCTTATTCTACACTTTCCTATCTTCATTTTGATATATTATGGGTCGAATTTAGTTAAGAAATGATTAAGTTACGAAGTTTTGAAAATTGCCCAAACTTCCGGCCAATAGCTCCGGGACACTTAACAGAGTTTTTAACGGAATGACCAAAACGATGGATGATGGACAATCGCAAGGACCACTTCTATTGATTTGAAATCTCAGGGACCAAAGTGAGGAGTTATGCAAATCTCAGGGACCATTTTAGCTAAAAAGCCTTTTTTTTTTCATTGACGGTCGAATTTTCTTTCATATAACGATATATTTGTGAGTGAATAAACTGATATCGAATTTTTTTAAAAAAAAAATTGAGACTTCTGTCACTTAGTACTACGGTTTAGTTGTATTCATTTTCATTTGCGAGTGAGAGGTTTTAGTTTTGATTCTCGTAAAAGGCGAATTCGAACAACATTATTGTTAATCCATTATGAGGCTAACCACACATTTTTCTCTTAGTGTAAATAATATTGTTTGCTAAAAAAAATTTGAGGTTTTTTACTTACAAAATTAAAAGAATACTACGATACCATAATTGATTTGATTGACAGTCAAATTCCCGAACGCCAAACTTTTGGCCCCTTATCTCTACTAGTGTATTATCTCTACAATTATAAAGTCAGCCCCTGTGTTTGGGGTCACAAAGTTTCACAAAAAATAATTAGACATAAATACCCTTAAAACAAACAAAAAAAACTTAACCCATGCAATAAATTATGAAGAAATTAATTTCAGTCTCCCCATCTTCTTCTTTACATACATCCCTTGCTATATGCAATTTTATTAAATTTCTACAGATGTCATAAACAAATGGGAATGTTTAATTTATTTTCTTTGATCTTTTCTTTTTTTAATGAGAAACCCCAAAGCATTTTTTTTTCCTTCAATTTCTACTCTTTTACTTCATTTTTTTTTTCATACGGTTTTCGAAAGAGATCCTTGTAGTATTTGTAAACTCTGACTTGAAGAGATCCTATAAGAAAGTGTTAAGAGTGTTGCTTTTTGTTTTTTTTCTCTATTAAGTTGTTACCAAGTATACTTGGGATGCAAGTAAGGTTACTTGAATTCTCGTAATCCAAATACAACTAGGACAAGTAAATATATCCTAACTCGGAAGAAAATCATGAACGGATTCTTCCTCTCCAACAAATTTGATTGGGTTAAACTCATTTTTCAAGTTTGTGTTAGTACTACGGTCTAGTGATATTTCTCTTCACTTGTAAGTCTGTATTCAATTGATAGGATCCAAATCTCTAAGCCCTTAATCAACTTGTCTAAGTAACACAGAGTGTTGATGCACAAAATCAGTGAGGACTTTGGTACAAGAGAAAGTGTTAAATTTGTGACCTTCGCTAGATTGCTCCGGTCACTAGTGTGGATAAGTATGCAAATGGATAGAGACAGGGAAGCAAACACAAGATTTACGTGGTTCATCCCGATTGGCTACGTCCACGGAGTAGAGGAGTTCTCATCAATTGTGAAGGGTTTACACAAGTACATAGGTTGTAAATTAAGAAAGTGTGCCTAAACCTGCTTAGGCATCCGTCTAGCCCGCCTAGGCGCCCACCTAAACCCGTCTAAGTCGCGACTTTCACTTAGACAAAAAATCGATAACTTTCATTTTGTATTTTATTTTTGGGAATTGTTATTAACACTCCAAAAATCTCATTTGGCACTCCAAACTTTCTAGAATTAGAAGGAAAAATACACTTGTAAGGAGTGTTGAATAAGATTTTTTGAGTGCTTATAACAATTCCTTTTTTTTTTCAATAAAATGAAGGGATACTTGTTGAATACTTGGATGAACACTAATTATATGCTTGTTTCACATGTTTTCAATATGTTCTATTACTTAAGTCTATAATCTACATGTCATTTTATTTTGCAATATATACACACACACACATACAATTATGTGTTTTTAAAGTATAAATAAACACTTATTTATAAAATATAATAAATTTACTCAATCCGCCCAGTCTGCCTAGGCCACTACCTCGACTCTGCCTAGCCACCTAGGCGCTAGGCCCAAGCCCAACTAGCACCTAATGTTTTTTAGAACCTGGATTTTAATGTGTTTCATACACTCATGGAAAACAAGATTTGTTGCAATATGCAAAGTTGCGTGATTATAACATAACAATGATGTAGGAGCTTTTTGTGGGACTTTTAAATCCTATAAGATATATAGCTCAACCAAGTGAGCTCCAAACATGTGTTAGCCATATATAGCTCGATATTCGGCTTCTGCTAATGGTCATGGTTTGTTTCTTAGACTTCCATGAGATGGGATAGTTTTCAAGAAATACACATCATCTAGTAACTGACCTTCTAGTGGTACGACAACCTTCCCAATATGAATCACAAAAGAGTTTGGCAGGGGGTATCCAACAAAGATGCAGTGTTTGGTACGGGGATCAAATTTGTCAGTAGGATGAACAACAGTTGCATAACATAAACAACTAAATACTTTCAAGAGATCAAAGGATGGTGGGCGGTTGTATAACATCTCAAAAGGTGACTTGGTGGATAAGAGTGGTGATGGTAGGCAATTAATGAGGTAGACATCGGTTAAGACACATACTCCCTAGAAAGAAAGGAGTAAGTGGGATTGGAACAATAAGGCTCTTGGTACGTGAGAATGTGTCAATGTTTGTGTTCGGCAACATGAAAAAAAACTCAGACCCATTGTCTACCCTGATGGCTTTAATTTTGGCAAGAAATTGAGTATGAGCAAAAGCAACAAAAGATTATAAAAGATATTGAGTTTCAGATTTATGTTGCGTAAACTCATCTACAATTGCAAGAAAGAAAAGTGTTCTGAATGTGTGGGAACTTTGTGCGGACCCCAAATATCACAATGTAACAAATTGAATGGAGCATGGCTTGATATAGAACCTAAAGGAAACGGAAGTCTTGTTTGTTTTGCCATGGGTCAAATATTGCAATTATTATATAGAAATATTTTTTTTTTGAAGATAGTATGGAGTCACTAATTTGAGACGAGAAAGCGACGGGTGACCAAGTCGCATATGCCACAAATTGGAGGGCTACAAAACTTGATTTGGGACAGGTGTCCTCTATAACGAAGAGAAGTAATAGAGATAACTACGTTGTTTACCCGAACCAATCATCTTTCCCATAGAAAAGTTCTACAGGACATAAAAAGTGGAAAACAAAAGGACACAACAGTTTAAAGAATTAGTAAATTTACTGGCAGACATGAGATTTAAGCGGAAAGAAGGAATGCGTAAAACTTTGCCTAAGGTGTTATCTAAGTTGAAAGGTACGGTGCCAGTGGAAGTAAATAAGACTGTAGATCCAGTGGTTAAATTAATAATGGGTATTGAGCAAGATTCTTTCTTGGTGAAAAGCGTGGAGTTAGAAATGATGTGGTCACTGGACAGTAGCTTCACTATAAAAAAATCCAGGGTTTAATGAAGGCATAATTAATCGAGACATTTGTAAAAGACGACAGACCTGAAGCATTTGCATAAGAATTGTTATTACTAAAAACATGATTTGTATTTATTATAGATATGCCATGAACAAGTTGTTGAAGCTCCTTTGCAGAAAGCCCATTTAATGGGTTCGGTTGAGAAGATTGTGAATTGGAGAACTGGGCGGCGCATGAAAGCTTTGAACTGCTGGCGACAATGGGCTGGACGTGCAGAGGCATTTGCTGCGTTGGCAGCATGTAAGAAGGCAGGTGCCTTGTGGTCCTCGCTGGCGGCATGCGTTGGCTGCATTCGTCGGCATCCTGCGCTGGAAGCATGCTTTGGCATCATGCTACGATGATGAACTGATGATGATGATAACGATGTTGCACTTGCTGATGATGCACCTGATGGTCAGCCCAATAAAAGTCTGATCACCGATGGCTTAGTCAACTATGCATTTCACGTGGTGGAATTTTTTTGAGAATTGGGTTTCGTCTTTTCTTTGGTAGTGTTTGATTTGACACGGTGTTTGAGAATTGGATTTTGTGCTTACTGGGAGTATTTGATTTGACATGGACTTTCCGGGAAAAGAGAAATCAGGCGCTTAGGATAGTGCTATGATACCATCTTAAGAATAAAAATTAAGGAAGATTGAACGGAGAATTTGTTTTTTTTTTTTTTAAACCAAAGGTAGAAATTTATAATTGAATAGATAGATTTACATCGTGAGCTAAAATGTTAAAAAGAAAATCAGGCCCAATACGATCCCAAACAAATTCCTTACCCTCTTGGAAAACATACTTGGCCACCGAGTGCGCCGCACGGTTACTTTCCCGAGAAACAAAATCGAAAGTTACCGACTCCAAACCACGGGCTAGAGTCTCAATGTCACCTAAAGTACATTCCAAACTGAAGTCAGGGGTAGTCTTATTCCGAATCATTTGGATTATAGCCTTAGCATCTGATTCGATGGCCACAGAATTGAAGCCATGTCGAACACAGAAGTCCAAAGCAGCTCGGATTGCAAGCGCCTCAGCTGCTGCAGTACTATGGCATAGTAGCCCTCTCGAGCCCCCCCCGCCGCCTGCAGCAGCCCAGCAAAGTCACGGGCAACCCATCCCACACCTACACATAACGTCTCCTTGCGCCAAGCAGCATCAGTATTCACCTTGATAGTGCCAAAACCCGACTTCTTCCACTGTCCAGGTCTTCTCGCCGAAGATGGTGATAACAAGCCATCAGTAGGTTGTGCGCCCTTCGTCCTTTGAGATCCCGCCTCCCTGAACTCGCCCAGGTTCCTCATCCAGAGCCCAAGGATATCAAGGGGTTGATGGATCACGCCTTTGAAGACTAAGTCGTTCCTGTTTTTCCAGAGACGCCAAAGCCCAAACAAATTCTTGCAACAACTCCATTTCGTTATCTTTCCCCTTGACTCTGCTGCAGAAGGACCCCCAGGAAGCAAGGAAATCGTTCCCTTCCAGGTCGAAAGAATTGAGCTGTAGAGGGGAGCAAAACCAAAAGATATGACTGATTTCACATCGAAAAAATAAATGGTTCTCCGTCTCGTCAGGCTGCATACACCCCTCGCAGATATTGTCAACTCTCATAATTCTTATTTTCAGATTCCTTCGAACAGCCAAAGCATTATTACAACATTTCTAAACAAAAAACTTCATTTTATTTGGGACCTCCAGTTTCCATATTTTGTTCCAAACCTGAGTGAGGCTTGAAACTAAGCTTGGCATTCCCCGCCCTTTCTTTCCCAAATCACCATTTTCCATGAGCCCCAAGGCTACCCCGTATCCAGTTTTAACGGTATACTCCCCGTTCTTAGAGTGATGCCAAACCAGGCGATCGCTCATGCCGCACCTGCTAAGAGGAATATTGAGAATCGAGGACACATCCTCTTTCAAGAAACCCCCTTTAACAATGTCAGTTTTCCACTCATAAGAGCCAGGATCAATAAGGTCTCTCACCATAATTGCTTGCAGTCCCTCATGCACCCGAACCTTGAACGGAGAATTTGTTAAGAGTTTACATAAGGGGTATTCACCATTTCTTTTTTATTTCTCACACTCTTATAATTTTCAATCGTCGGATCAAATGAATTGAAGAAAATCAAATAACAGAAATTAATAAGGAGTGTGTGAGAAGTAAAAATGAATGCGTAGATAGCACATTTCTTTGAATAATAAGTAATTGGGTGAATGATTTTCTGAATGCTCTCATTGTCAACAATACACGATATAGATACAAATACAACATTCAACCACACCTATTTCTAGGGCTAGGATTCCGTGATCCCCATTTGGTGAGATTTGATCTAAGGCTAAATGGTGGGATTTGATCTACTAGACTAAATCAAGAAAGTAAATATTACAAAGATAATTCTTAAGATGATTAGATCAAGTGATCAACTGGTTTTCCTTACCGGCCTTTAATTTTTAGGGTTTTTGTGCTTGCGTTTATGACTCGGACAGTGGAAGTACTTGAAATATCAAATTGTTGGTTATTGTTTGATCCTTGAAAAATCGATGACCGGCCGGAATAGAGTGAGATGCGGGGTGGTTTGAGAAGGACCAATAAATATGAGAGTTGAGGAGGGATAATTCCCTATACTTGATACATTGCAGCTTCAAACATCCTACTAGCATGATCATTTGGCATAGAATCTGTAGAGGATCAAATGGGAAGGAACATGAATGTCCAATATCAAGAGCATGTTAATTTTACACTACAATAATCAAACCACATAAAAATTTATGGTAAGTTGGGATTAACGATGGGTAAGTAGCTCAATCACAGATTCTCACATTTTCCAGATTCTGGATGTGGATGTGCAAGTCTCACATTTTTAAACGTAGAGATTAGTTACACAAAATATTATTATTGCATAGTCTGGCAACGCAAATTTGTAACCATGCGGATTATTGAAGTTATTGTTTATTGGGTGTTGCAATGTCACATTAAGCATGTCCTAGATAGGGCACCCCGCTCGTTATGGGCTCGTTTAGTACACATAATTGAATTGAAATAAATAACATACTAAATCAAAGGTACGTCGAAAGGAGAAAATATAAAATTATGACCACCTAGATGATCGAAGATGGATTACTCATGAAATTTTTTTATCCATTTTGTAACGACCCGTCCCCAAATTTTATGGTTTTTATAATTGTAAAACGTGAAATTATGAAAATGCCCTTTGAGGTAAAAACATTGACTTTTATTGACTATCTTGTCATTTCATGTAAGATCCATTTTCTTAACATATCCTTGTAGCACTTGTCGCTACGAACGAGTGGGCGCGAGTGGAATTGAATTTGGAGTTTAAACGAAGATTTTACGGGACTCGGAACGATAAGGGTATTTTGGTAATTTTGCAATTAAAATGTATTTCCCTATTAGGGACCACTGGGATGGTGACACATGGCAAAATTGTCCCCATTTTTGGGGTGTTCCTTTTCCTCTCCCGGGATCTCTCTCCCATATTTTTCTGTCACCCTTTCTCTCCCCCAAGCACACCCATATACCCCCTTACTCCTATTCTCTCCAAGCAACACCCACCACCATTTTCACCATCTACCATCTCCAGCGAGCACAGCCGAATCACCTACTTGCTCTAGGCCTCGCAACAAGTCACCCACAACCATGATGTTCCCTTAACAGCCATTTATCTCTCATTCACTCTGCAAACACAGAGACAGCACCACCACCACCACCTAACCTCTTGAACTCCGGCGAGTTCTCCACGATTATGGCCAAGGTGGGCCTCAAGTATGTTCTACATCTTATACATTCGTCTTCGTGGTTCGATTTTGAGTATGCTTGTGTGTTTTGGAAGGGTGTTAGGATATAAAATAGCTCAGGGAAACTAATTCCCAGATTCGGGTGAAGTCCGAAGGTTTGCAAACCTTTTCCAGCCAACTCCGGCCACGACTCATGTTCCACTTAGGTATATTTCTATCTCATACCTCTTGAACTTCATTTTGGCTTTTGAATCTTTGAATTTGGTTGAGAAATAAGTTTGTTATGGCCATTTAAAGTTTTCCGGCCACTTCCCTGCGATTCCGGCCTTCTCCTTCATTGGCTTCGGCGACCCGTGAATTTTATCAGGTCAGACCCGACCCACAGCCTAATAGCCAACCCAACCCAATCAGATCCAACTAAGCCTAATCCACTAACTCGGCCCAAACCTTGGGCCTATGTAACCCAAGCCCTAAACTGGATCTAAACCTAATAGCCTAGGCCCAGTCCTACACCCGACCCAATCCGGCTATCCACGGCGGTGCCGCCAACTTTTCTGGCAAACCAACTCGAAGCGTAGCTGCGCTTGCGGTGGTGCGTGGTCTTCCAAGTCAGTGCGACGGCGAGTAGGGGAACCCGAGGTCCCTCTTTAGGTTTTTTGACGTGCTGGATCCGAATTCGCTATCTGTTTTCCCTAATTCTGTCGTTTTAGTAGAGTTTTATTAAATGTCCTCTCTTTGTGTTTAGGTGTCGTCGGTTGGAAATGACATCATCCTCGCTAGTTTGAGCGGATTACGGGCGATGGAATATTGTGAGTGGACCCCTTCTAAACTTGCATGTTTTTTATAAAATATTAGGCTTGCATGCATTGCACATTTCATGAATAGAGCATGATTTATAATATGTTTTTTTTTTTTTTATGGATTTCTATATTTATGATTTACGGAGAAATTATGATTTATTTAAATTGCTTTTACGAGATATTTACGACTTATTGAATTTACGTTTTACGAAAGGTTATAAATTATTAGATTTTTGTATATGGAATTCTATGGATTTGCGGATACGATTGATCTATGAACATGAATTATTATGGATTGATGGGATAAGGCTTTGAGCTTTTGAGCTTCGGATTTGAGATGAGATTTTGAGATATGTTTTCGGTACTTATCTAGTGGGTTATCATACAATACATCCACACAACGCTGGTATTTAGACATCTATGGCCATAGGACACAGTTGAGGATATCTACGTATATAGTTCTTCTCTGGCGTAAGCCAGAGCTGTACAGCTTCACCTTCGGGTGATAAGGCCTACCATGTTTCTTCACTAGCGTAACCCAGTGTCGTACAACTTTACCTTCAGGTGATGGGCCATGGTTTCTTCACTAGCGTAACCCAGTGTCGTACAGCTTCACCTCTGGTGATGGTTATGCCTTCGGGCCATTATGATACCCCTAGTGAGTATAGTATTGATGAGATTTACAGATTTGCCTTCGGACGACAATAACACCATTATTGAGCATCGTTTTATATGTACATGTTTTATGAACGTTTTCATGGCATGTAGAGTTTTCAGAAAACTACTATGTAGTACTATGTATGTGTTTTCAAAAGAGGGGGTTAGTATATTCAGAAATAAAATGGTTTTCTTATTATTAGTATTATTATAAACTTGGTCCACTCATCTTTTTTGTTTTGCGCCCCCTTCAGGATTTAGATTCGAGGCACACGATCCCGACGTCAGGGCACTTTCGCTTAGGCACCTTCGAGTCTCCTCTGTGTAGGATCCATTCCTCGGTTTGTACCTTTCTATGATAATTCCTTCACATTATTCTTGATTAGTTGTATGCTCTAAACACGATTCTATATTGGTGTAACTCTTTCTAATGACATATTTCATTAGTATGCATGTTTAAAAATGGCTTGGTCACCCTCAGGTGTCGGCCAGCACGTGCCAATCCTCGTATTTAGGGATATCGGGGTTGGGGCGTGTCAATTTCAATAAATGGTAGTATTAAAAATGATGAAATTATTCATATCTAAACCTTTTCTAATCCCTTCCAAATACAAAATCATTCACTTTCATCTTCAATTTCAATATACCTTGAGGAAAGGGATCCTATCCGGATCCTTTCATTCTAATCCACTAACTCCAGGGATCCGGGCCATTGAAATTTGATCAAACGGCTAAAGTTATTATAATTTTTAAAGTGAGCCCCTGTTTGTAGCCGTTGGATCAAATTTCAATGGCCTAGATCCTTAGACTTGGTGGATTAGGAGGAAAGGATTCGAAGATGATCCCTTTCTATACTTTGAAACTTATGAGTTCTGCATTCCAATCCAACCATGTGTGTCAAATGAACCTATGGATGAGTCGAAAATCTCACCTATAGGCCTAAACTTTTTCGGAATACAATTACCAAAATGCAAGGTTCTTCTAACTAGAAGTTTTTTGAGTTATGGTTGAAATTTTTTTATTTTAGTTTTTTCCAACGAAAGTCCTAACAGCTTATAGGCTCTAAAGTGACATATTGTGATATGTTACACGATGTATGACATGCACCCCTTATCACCGCCTCTACTATCATTGTTATGTCTGCAGCCCAACAACCACACTGCTTTATATTGGCACCATCACAACCATTGCCCTCGCTACCATTGTCGTCATCACCACTCACACTATCATGTCCATTTTTGCAATTATACACAACTACATCATTTTTACATTAAATTTACCAAACGCTTTTACATTGTTTTTCATACTCACAACACTTTTAAATATACAATTTATCAACGCTCAACTACATTATTTTGTAACTGATTATTGTTAAAGCATAGCAGAAACAGTTTTTTTTTTTTTTTTTTTTTTTTTTTTTTTAAAGCACATCAGAAGCAATTTTTAAAAAAGCACAACAAAAGCAGTTTTTTTTCTTTTTCTGTCCATGCGTTAATTTTACATTGGTAAATTTTATTTATAATCATCATTTATGTAGCATAAACAGTGCATTTAAGTAATCAATTTCTATATCCTCTTATCTTCTTTTGTGTAATTTTATATTCACAGATTTTGTTTGATATAAATATGAGAGACTTTGGATGCGATCCCTAACTATCAAACTTGTTTTACTGAAACCTTGTTGTGATTTAGTTTTTTATCGACATCCAAGACATTAATGTAATAATGTTTTTTTTATGTAGGTTGTTATATTTTTTAAATTAAGAATTGAATTTTAGTTGTTTATATTAATAAGATTTTAAATAAAACCTATAATTTGTGGGATACATTCTTGTACACACACACATATATATGGATACATTCTCAAATCAAAACTTGTACCACCACCAAAAAAAAAATGAGGCTTAATAACATTAGTAAATTTCTTCGATTAAACTTGACATGGATACATTTTCAAATCAATAAAAAAGAATGTACCCGTATAAGTTAAAAAAAAATAGATTAGAAAAAAATTGAATGGATTTTATATACAAATAAAATAGGTACATTTTATATTAAAAAAAAGGTACATTTAAGATTTAAAAAATTGAAAAATTATATGAATGTTTTTTATTAAAAAAAATTGAAACTCTTTTTATAAAAATTTAATGGGTAGAAACTTATTCTCTCTTTTTTTTTCTTTTTTTTTGAAAATGTTTTGAATTGGAATTAATTAGGAGTTTAATAAAGGTGTGAGTACAAAATCCTAAATCAATGACTAGTTTTCATTTAAAAAAATTATGTAACTTACATGTAAATTCATTAATAAATTAAGGTTAGAGACTTTTATCAAAATCTGAAAATTAATAAGGTATCAGTCAGTGAACATTAGTAATTAGTGACATGATACTAATTTTTCCTATAAATATGTATGAACTAAGTTTATATGTGGTAGAATAAGGGCACTTAAAGTAAGGGAAAAAGAAGACAATTAGAGTGGTATCAACCAAGGGATGCTATAGTTTCCAAATGGCAGGTTTTGAAAGCAAGCCAAAAAGACTTCATTTGCCATCGCATGTGTAAAACACATACACATGCCCGTGGTTCAAATACAACTGTGAAAAATAAAATGGAACTTTGTACATCTGTTCTAGTCATGGTTGTGGTTATATATAATTTGTTGTCTCCTAAATGAGATTCTTTATGGACTCTCTCCCCCTCCCTCTCCTCTCTTTCAATCCCCCTTCATCAATCATGATTTATGAATTTCCACGGCTAGCCATATGGATTTTCCACCAAAGACTAATTGGTGTGCCAAGATTTCCAAGGCTGGCTATCTTATTCATGGATTCATTATCATCTACTCCTACACGGCTTCATTAGAATTCGGACATTCCATAGAAAAATATCAGTATCTCTCATTAGTGAGCAACAAATAAGAAAGTGACTGGTGTGACAATGATGATTTTTGAATGTTAATAACAATTCCAATATTTAGAAGAAGAAAAAGTATCTAATGAATTATGAGTTCAATACATCCTGTTTGGCAGAAAGACGGATATTCCTTACTCATTATCAAACAATCACTTATTCACAAACCTCCTGTAGGGCTAATAGTTTTCATTTCTCATCTCATGGAAAACCCATGTATTCCTTGCTCATTATCAGACAATCACTTATTCACAAACCTCTTGTGGGGCTAATAATAGTTTTCATTTCCCATCTCATGGAAAACCCATTTGTAAATAACGACACAACAGTCCTATTCAGTTTGAGACTCACAGCATGTGTGATGTGGACGATGGACTTGTAAAAGGGTTATGAACGCCCGCCATTCAGTTCAGTTACGCTTTTTACTTTTCTCTATAAGACGAATGTCGTTTTCAACTCCCCGGCCTACATCTATGATCTATTCCTATAAATTTCGGTGTCGCGCTAATTTAGAGCTAAACATCATCACTAGCAGAGCAAAGCAAAGAAAAGAAAATTGTGTGTGATAATGGATAGCCACTATCACCTCAGTATTGCTCGCTATTTACTTATATTGCTTTTGGTCTTTTCCTACATGCAGACTACTACCAAACTCTGTTTCTGTTTGGACGGTGATGAACTTTCAAGCAGTCTGAAAACAAATTCATGCATCGACGAAGAAAGACAATCGCTTCTCATCTTTAAGCAACATCTTGTTGATCCTTCTGGTAGGCTTTCCTCTTGGGTGGGCCATGATTGCTGTCAATGGGAAGGTATTTCATGCAACAACAACACTGGTCATGTCGTGAAGATGGACCTCCGGAATCCATATCTGTATTCCATTTCTGATGACCAGTGGGAGTACGAAGCTTATGAAAAGTCTCTCTTGGGAGGTAAGATAAATGCTTCACTGTTGGGCTTGAAACATTTAAATTACCTGGACCTAAGCAAGAATTTTTTTCATAGCAGTCAAATTCCTAAGTTCTTTGGGGAGCTTAAAAGTTTGCAATATCTCAATCTCTCCTTTGCATCGTTTGGAGGAGAGATTCCCCTTTCTCTTGGTAACCTGTCAAGCCTTAATTTTCTTGACCTTGGGTGGAATCAACTCTCATCTTCAAAAAATTTGAATTGGCTTTCTCACCTCTCTTCTCTAGAATACCTTAATCTCAATTACATTAACCTTAGCAGCACTGGAGTCAGTTGGGCGTATGATATTTCGATGCTTCCTTCATTGTTAGAGTTACACTTGTCTTCGTGCCAAATTGAAAGCATTCCACTCTCATTGCAGGGAATTAACTTGACATCACTTTTTAATCTTACCAGCCTCATAACTCTTGATCTATCCGGGAATAATTTCAATGGTCCTTTTCCAAATGAACTTGCATGTCTCAAATCTCTGGAATACCTTGATTTATCTAAAACAGGCTTAAAAGGTCAAGTTCCCAAAGTCTTTGGAAATTTGTGCAAGCTAAAGGTCTTGAGTCTTTCTGGAAACAAAATTGATGGGAGGGTTGGAGACTTTTTGAGGAGTTTCTCAAATTGTTCAAATAACCCATTAGAGTCATTAGATTTGTCTAACTGTGAGCTGGAAAGCCAAATGCCGGCCTCCTTAGGAATATTAAAAAGCTTGCAGTATCTCAACCTTTGTGGAAACTATTTGTGGGGCTCAATTCCAGATTCCATCGGAAACTTGTCATCCTTGGAAACATTGGACATCTCTAATAATAAGATGAATGGCTCCATTCCAGATTCCATTGGAAACTTGTCATCTTTTGAAAACTTTGGACCTCTCTTTTAATAAGATGGAAGGCTCTATTCCACAAAGTATGGGACAACTCACTCATCTAGTTTCTCTGCGTCTATATGGTAATTTATGGGAAGGCATTCTAACAGAAGCCCATTTCATAAACCTTACCAAATTACAAGATCTGCAAGTAGGAAACAAAGACCGACCCATGTCCCTCATTTTCAACGCGGCTTATGATTGGATTCCTCCTTTCAAGCTCCACACAATTGAGATCATAAACTGTCAAGTAAGTCCCGGTTTTTGGGTATGGCTTCAAGCTCAAACTAAACTGTCTTCTGTTATTCTTCGTGGTAATGGAATGTCGGATTCCATTCCAGAGGAATGGTTGTTGCAGATATCTTCCCAACTCATCCAACTAGATTTGTCTTACAACCAATTTTGTGGAAACCTTCCATCACATTTGAAATTTCCAAATATAAATTCTATTGATTTGAGTCATAATCAATTGGAGGGCCCACTCCCACTTTGGTGGTCCACTAATGTCTTTTCTCTTGATCTTGAAAGCAATTTTTTTTCCGGACCAATTCCCTCCAATATTAACCAAATGATGCCCAATTTGAAAACTCTGTATCTTTCTGAGAATCATTTGAATGGCACTATTCCTCCCGGTGTTTGCAATATGGAGCAATTGAAAATCTTGTCCCTGAGGAGCAATCAATTTTCTGGGGAATTCCTTCGTGCATGGAGTGTGGAGAGCAATATGGTGTTTCTAGATGTTGGTTACAACAATCTCTCTGGTAATATTCCTAGTTCATTGGGGGTATTAAGTTCAATTCGAATATTAAAGCTCAACAACAACAATTTTGGCGGTGAAATACCCGATTCCTTGCAGAATTGTTCTAGTTTGGAGAGTATGGATCTTGGGGACAACAAGTTAACTGGCAACATACCTCTATGGATAGGAGGATCAAATTCATCCATGTGGTGTATGCTACGATTACGGTCCAACCATTTCAGTGGACATATTTCCCCACAATTGTGCAATCTTCACCACCTTCATATCCTTGACCTCAGTCACAACAACCTTTCAGGTACTATTCCCATGTGTTAAATAATTGGACTTCACTGGTGGACGATTCCAATACAAACTCTACAGGTTATATTGAGCAAGCCACACTAACACTAAAAGGAAGCGAACTTGTGTACAACAAGACTCTGATGTTGGTAAAGAGCATTGATCTTTCATCAAATAATTTACAAGGTGAAATCCCTCAAGAAATAAGCAGCCTCATTTTATTGGGTACGTTGAACTTGTCAAAGAATCAATTGACTGGAAGGATCCCCTCCAAGATTGGAAACTTACATTTGCTTGAAACTCTTGATCTCTCACACAACCACCTTTCAGGTCAAATTCCTCAAAGCTTGTCATCTTTGACCTCTTTGTCCCACTTGAATTTGTCTTGCAACAACTTGTCTGGAAGAATTCCTTCTGGAAACCAACTTCAAACGCTCAATTTTTCGTCCATTTATATGGACAATCCATTGCTATGTGGTGCTCCTCTCTCAACTAAGTGCCCTGAAGATGACAATTTTACTACTAAGGATGCAAAAGACAAGAATGAAGATGGTGACAATGATAAATTGTGGTTCTCTGTCAGCGTGGTACTTGGCTTCATCGTAGGCTTTTGGAGCGTTTGCGGCATATTGATCTCAAAGACATCATAGAGGTATGCCTGTTTTCATTTCTTCGACAACATCAAAAATAAGGCAGTACTAGCAATTGTATTGAAAGTGGCTCGGTTCTGAATAATGTTTTTAGAAGTTTGATTGTACTATGTAAATGTGATGTTTTTTCTTTCTACTTTGGGTTTTTGATACTTGCAACTTATGTATTGAATAAAAGAATTCTAGCTTTCAATTATGTCTTAATCTGCAACTAATAAAAAATTCTAGTTTGTAATCAATCGCATAATACCAGATACATGCGACGGTTGTGTATTCAATGTTGCACTTTAACAAAATAACACTTTGTTCATAAAGTAGATAAGCGCACGTATGTATTCTCTTCTTTTACACTTGCAGAGAAAATGTAGCTTAAATTATACTGGAAAGGGAAAATACAACCTTAATCAAGTATTCCACGCGATGTCTCATCCTTGTATGTATGAACCCCTCTAAACACTGCAAAAGAATATGCACAAAATGAGATTGAGATCAAACATGTCAAATGAAGAAATGCATATATATTAATCAGTGAAGACATAGTACACTTCCAAGCTGCACTCACAGTCATAAGTTATAGAAGGACAGAACAAAAAATTGTGCAGGACAAGGACTAACAGCATGAAAAAGTTGGTCCAACATTACTTCTAAATGAAGTTCAGAAAAACTGAACGACAAGCTGTAAACAAGAGTAAATCAGAAAGAGCAAAAACATATACAACAAAGAAAAAAAATCTTACTTCCTCATGCACATAAGTACCAACTTTATACAATTTTCAGATCATACCATATCCAGTCATCTATAGAAAGTAATTTGACATATTTTGTTCAGGTGATGAGGACAAAAGATGGAAGTAACAAGTTTAGGTGAAAAAGGTTACACCTTAACATGGTAACTAACATTGCAAGTGACCCTTTACCATAGTGGTGGAAGGGTGTTGAACTCTTACATGACGGAGTAGGTTCAAATCTTATCGGTCGCTAATCTAACATCTAATATAACAAAATCTATCGTTTAACCAAAAAAAAAAAAAAAAAAAACATGGTAACTAACATTAGCATGGTGTTCGGTTTTATCAATGAATTAGTTTAGAATATTGCTAGTATCAGAAATAAGTAAAAATAAACAAAAATCCCACATATAAATCATCCTCAATTGCATTGCAAAATGCCTCTTTCTTCTCTCTTCCAATCCCTTTCATCAGTTATGATTTATTTTCCACATATAACGATCTCATCCAAGCATCATTATCATCTACTCCTACGCGGATTCACCAGAATTCGAAAAATTACGAAGAAAATGTCTTGTAATCCCCATTAGTGAAAGCCAAATAAGACAGTCTAGTCCCCCTCCCCACTTGCACTTTCCCTGCAATTTCATGGTGTGACAGCGTTGGCATTTGGCATTTGATTTCATTTTTTTCTAGTCAGGACGTGTTTCAAACACAATAATACATCATGGAAAGTTATATACTTTGAGTATTCCAAACACAATAATACATCATGGAAAGTTATATACTTTGAGTATTCCAAACCCAATAAATACATCTTGGAAAGTTATATACTTTGAGTATTCCAAACACAATAATACATCATGGAAAGTTATATACTTTGAGTATTCCAAACCCAATAATACATCGTGGAACGTTCTCCTAATCTCAATTACAATTCGACCAGCCAAACATATATTCATACCAAAATCATACCAATAAAGTCATACACCCTTCCGTTATTGCTTCAACTACGTAAGTAAAAAACTTGATCCTAGTTGATTATTTTTTGTAACCCACAACTTACCGTTGGACTGAACTTTTACGCAAGGAGGAATGACTCTCTGCGAGTAAAGAACTTGACTACCTCATTGGGCAGCAGTCTTGCAAGTTGCAAACCTGTGAATTACAATCTTAGTAACCTGCCAAGTCCAAATTTTCTTGATCTCGGGTTGAATTATGACTTATCTTTTAGAAACTTGAATTGGCTTTCTCACCTCTCTTCCCTGTAATATATTAATCTCAATTCCGTTGACCTTCGCAATCAGTTGGCCATATAATATTAACATGCTTCCTTCGTTATTAGAGTTACATTTATCTTTTTGCCAAATTGAAAGCCTTCCAGTCTCACTACAGAGGATTAAATTGACATCACTTTTGATCCTTGATATGTTGCATAATGGTATTCAATTTCTCAGTTGGTTTTTAATCTTACCACCCTCATAACGCTTGATCTGTCCGGGAATAATTTCAATGGTCCTTTTCCAAGTGAATTTTCAAACTTCAAATCTCTGAAATACCTTGATTTATCTTCTATGGGCCTAAAAGGTCACAATCCCAAGGGCATTGGAAATTTATGCAAGCTAAAGTTCTTAAGTCTTACACAAAACTATTTGTGGGGCTCAATTCCATAATCCATTGGAAAATTGTCATCCTTAAAAACATTTGACGTGTCTCACAACCAATTTCATGAAAACTTTCCATCCCATTTGAAATTTCCAAATTTAAAGACTATTGAATTAAGTAATAATCAGTTGGAGGAACCACTTCGACTTTGGTGGTCCAGTAATGTCTCTTCCCTTGATTTTGAAAGCAATTTATTTTTCGGACCTTTTCCTTGGAATATTGACCAGATGATGCCCAATTTGATAGATTTGTATATTTCTGAGAATCATTTGAATGACACTATTCTTCCTTTTATCTGCAACATGCAACACTTGGGATTCTTGCCTCTAAGGAGAAATTAATTTTCTGGAGAATTTTATCATGCATAGAGTGTGGGGATCTATATGTTGTTTGTAGATGTTGGTCACAACAATCTCTCTAGTAATATTTCTAGTTCATTGGGGTATTAAGTTCACTGCAAGAATTAAAGCTAAAAAACAACAATTTTGGTAGTGAGATTCCTGCTCCCTCATAAAATTGTTCTAGTTTGTTGAGTATTGATCTTGAAGACAACAATTTATTTGGAAAAACACCTTTATGGATAGGAGATCAAATGAATCCATGTTGTATATACTATGATTACAGTCCAACTATTTTAGTGGACATATTTCCTAGCAACTGCGCAATCTTCAGAGCCTTTATATCCTCGACCTTAGTCACAATAGCCTTTCAGGTACTATTCCCATATGTTTACGTAATTTGACTTCATTGGTCAGTGATTCAAATACATACTCTACTGATTATCTTGAGCAAGCCACACTGACACCAAAACGAGAAGAATTTGTGTGCAACACGACTCTAGATCTTGTAAAGAGCATTGATCTTTCATCAAAGTATTTACGAGGTGAAATCCTTGAAGAAATAAGTAGCCTGATTCTATTGGCACTTGAATTTGTGTATGAATCAATTGACTGGAAAGATCCCTTCCAAGGTCAGAAACTTGCGTTGTCTCAAAACTGTCGGTCTCTCACACCACCTCTCGAGATAGATTCCTCAAAGCTTGTCATTTAAAATCTCTTTGTTCCACTTGAACCTATTTTACAACAACTTGTCCGGAAGAAATTATTCTGGAAATCAGCTTTAAACGTTCAATGTTTCATCTCGTTATATGGAAAGTTCAACGCAATGTGGCGTTCCCCTCTCAACTAAGTGCCATGGAGCTGATGATAGGATTAAAAGCACACCACAAGTAGCACACAAATGTCCTATTGATTTTCCTTGTTAACACTAGATTTGTCAATTGTAGCATATGAAAATAAAGGTCTTTCCCGCAGAAGATTGTTTTATCTATCTACTTAAAATGTCACAAAAACTGGGCTGTTGTCCCTACTGACCAGCCACCGAAAAATAATTATTAGACCAACTTACACTTATCTAAAGTCTATGAAATTTTATAAGAACACACTAGACACACAGAGCTACACTCACACAAATTTTTGGGATTTTTGGAGTTGATTTGCTATTTAAATTAAATCGAACAAAAATAGGACAGAAACAAATTTTAAGTAGTTCACAAATTAAGAAAAACGAGTTAGGGGAATTGCTATCCACCACCAAATAATCATGCAAACATGTTATGTTTCATTCAAATTCCTTTTATTTCCGGATGAAGATTCTCTCAACCTATTACTCTTTCTTAAGTAGTATGTTAAGAGAATGACGTTTTCAACTTAACTTAGTCTCTAGCATGCAATCTAAAATGGCATGTTCATAGATTTAACAAGTAGAAATCATTAAGAACGAAAAGAGTTTGAGTCATCACAAGGCATCGTAAGTACTGGCGCTGTCTTACTTATCCTAGAAATTGGTTCACATGTTAATCGCAATTAACAAGTACTACTCTAGAACATATGTAGGTCCTCATTCGACAAGGGCAGACACACACATATTCATAGCATTAGAATCCTAGATATGCTTACTAAGTATGCATCCGTAGAAAACACATAAATAATTCATCAATGGGACAAGTAGTGAACCAATTTTCATCCATTCATAAAAGTAATTCAACTAAATGTCATAACAAACTTGCAATCATATTCGGGGCTTCAAAACAGCCTCTAACTACTAAAAATTTAGTTACACATTATTATCAAATAAAACCAAAAGAAAAACATGGGTTTGAGAAGATAAAACTAAAAGAAACGAGTCTCCCCTTCTCTCCTTCCTTCCTCAATCCTGCTGCCTTCTTCCTCGTCTAACTTCTTGCTGCCTTGCTTTCTTCTCTCCCATTTTCGTCAGCTGCACCTTTCCATTTTTTTTCTTTTTTTTTCTATCTTTTTTCTTCCCCTTTTCGTCACTGCAACCTGCAACCTTTTTGTTATGCTTGCTGCCCCAGTTTTTTCTCCATAACTCACCCACGTGAGAAGAAATGGTAAAACAATTGTAACTCTTTGGGTAGCCTTTATGCCCATTACTCCCACTTAATTCTCATCTTTATTTCCATTTCCTCTGATATTTGGATAGGTGTCAGCTGACTTGTTCTTGGCTGCATCAGTTTTGGCTGCTAGATTTATTGGATTTATTGTTTTCTTGTCAGTTACAAAATGCTCAGCCTCTTGGGAACCTTTCAGTGTTAAAATGACCATAACTTCTTCTAGAAACATGATATTAACAATCCGTGAAATGCTCCAGAAAATAGACATCCATAGCTTTCCAAGAATATAAGGCACATTCTCTAATTCATTCTAAGCTGTCCACAACTTGCTTCCAAAATCAGCTGACCTGCACAGGCAGTTTTGACGAATTTGTTACTTAAAATCCCACTTGTGCTATTTTTCTTTTCTTTGCTTGACAAATCCCACAAAACACAAAAACAAAGTAAATAGCTCAAAAATATAAGGAACTAACTAAAGAAAAGACAAATACTATAGACTTTTATCTTAATAAGATTTTAAATAAAACCTATAATTTGTGAGATTAAAAATAATAAAAGATAAATTATACCCTATGTATCTTGTACACACACACACACACATACACACATATATGGATATATTCTCAAATCAAAACTTGTACCACCACAAAAAAAAAAAAAAAAAAAAGAATGAGGCTTAATAACATTAGTAAATTTCTTCAATTAAACTTGACATGGATACATTTTCAAATTAACAAAAAAAGAATGTACCCGTATAAGTTAAAAAAAACATATTAGAAAAAAATTGAATGAATTTTATATTAAAAAAGGGGTACATTTAAGATTTAAAAAATTGAAAAATTATATGAATGTTTTTTATTAAAAAAAATTGAAACTCTTTTTATAAAAATTTAATGGGTAGAAACTTATTCTCTCTCTCTCTTTTTTTTTAAATGTTTTGAATTGAAATTAATTAGGAGTTTAATAAAGGTGTGAGTATTAAAATCCTAAATCAATGACTAATTTTCATTTAAAAAATTATGTAACTTACATGTAAATTCATTAATAAATTAAGGTTAGAGACTTTTATCAAAATCTGAAAATTAATAAGGTATCAGTCAGTGAACATTAGTAATTAGTGACATGATACTAATTTTTCCTATAAATATGTATGAACTAAGTTTATATGTGGTAGAATAAGGGCACTTAAAGTAAGGAAAAAAGAAGACAATTAGAGTGGTATCAACCAAGGCATGCTATAGTTTCCAAATGGCAGGTTTTGAAAGCAATCCAAAAAGACTTTATTTGCCATCGTATGTGTAAAACACAAACACAAGCCCGTGGTTCAAATACAACTGTGAAAAATAAAATGGAACTTTGTACATCTGTTCTAGTCATGGTTGTGGTAATATATAATTTGTTGTCTCCTAAATGAGACTCTTTATGGACTCTCTCCCCCTCCCTCTCCTCTCTTTCAATCCCCCTTCATCAATCATGATTTATGAATTTCCACGGCTAGCCATATGGATTTTCCACCAAAGACTAATTGGTGTGCCAAGATTTCCAAGGCTAGCTATCTTATTCATGGATTCATTATCATCTACTCCTTCACGGCTTCATTAGAATTCGGACATTCCATAGAAAAATATCAGTATCTCTCATCAGTGAGCGACAAATAAGAAAGTGACTGGTGTGACAATGATGATTTTTGAATGTTAATAACAATTCCAATATTTAGAAGAAAAAAAAGTATCTAATGAATTATGAGTTCAATACATCCTGTTTGGCAGAAAGACGGATATTCCTTACTCATTATCAAACAATCACTTATTCACAAACCTCCTATAGGGCTAATAGTTTTCATTTCCCATCTCATGGAAAACCCATATATTCCTTGCTCATTATCAGACAATCACTTATTCACAAACCGCTTGTGGGGCTAATAATAGTTTTCATTTCCCATCTCATGGAAAACCCATTTGTAAATAACGACACAACAGTCCTATTAGGCGATGGACTTGTAAAAGGGTTGTGAACGCCCGCCATTCAGTTCAGTTACGCTTTTTACTTTTCTCTATAAGACGAATGTCGTTTTCAACTCCCCGGCCTACATCTATGATCTATTCCTATAAATTTCGGTATCGCGCTAATTTAGAGCTAAACATCATCACCAGCAGAGCAAAGCAAACAAAAGAAAATTGTGTGTGATAATGGATAGCCACTATCACCTCAGTATTGCTCGCTATTTACTTATACTTCTTTTGATCTCTTCCTACATGCAGACTACTACCAAACTCTGTTTCTGTTTGGACGGTGATGAACTTTCAAGCAGTGTGAAAACAAATTCATGCATCGACGAAGAAAGACAATCGCTTCTCATCTTTAAGCAACATCTTGTTGATCCTTCTGGTAGGCTTTCCTCTTGGGTGGGCCATGATTGCTGTCAATGGGAAGGTATTTCATGCAACAACAACACTGGTCATGTCGTGAAGATGGACCTCCGGAATCCATATCCGTATTCCATTTCTGATGACCAGTGGGAGTACGAAGCTTATGAAAAGTCTCTCTTGGGAGGTAAGATAAATGCTTCTCTGTTGGGCTTGAAACATTTAAATTACCTGGACCTAAGCAAGAATTTTTTTCATAGCAGTCAAATTCCTAAGTTCTTTGGGGAGCTTAAAAGTTTGCAATATCTCAATCTCTCCTTTGCGTCATTTGGAGGAGAGATTCCCCTTTCTCTTGGTAACCTGTCAAGCCTTAATTTTCTTGACCTTGGGTGGAATCAACTCTCATCTTCAAAAAATTTGAATTGGCTTTCTCACCTCTCTTCTCTAGAATACCTTAATCTCAATTACATTAACCTTAGCAGCACTGGAGTCAGTTGGGCGTATGATATTTCGATGCTTCCTTCATTGTTAGAGTTACACTTGTCTTCGTGCCAAATTGAAAGCATTCCACTCTCATTGCAGGGAATTAACTTGACATCACTTTTTAATCTTACCAGCCTCATAACTCTTGATCTATCCGGGAATAATTTCAATGGGCCTTTTCCAAATGAACTTGCATGTCTCAAATCTCTGGAATACCTTGATTTATCTAAAACAGGCTTAAAAGGTCAAGTTCCCAAAGTCTTTGGAAATTTTTGCAAGCTAAAGGTCTTGAGTCTTTCTGGAAACAAAATTGATGGGAGGGTTGGAGACTTTTTGAGGAGTTTCTCAAATTGTTCAAATAACCCATTAGAGTCATTAGATTTGTCTAACTGTGAGCTGGAAAGCCAAATGCCGGCCTCCTTAGGAATATTAAAAAGCTTGCAGTATCTCAACCTTTGTGGAAACTATTTGTGGGGCTCAATTCCAGATTCCATCGGAAACTTGTCATCCTTGGAAACATTGGACATCTCTAATAATAAGATGAATGGCTCCATTCCAGATTCCATTGGAAACTTGTCATCTTTGAAAACTTTGGACCTCTCTTTTAATAAGATGGAAGGCTCTATTCCACAAAGTATGGGACAACTCACTCATCTAGTTTCTCTGCGTCTATATGGTAATTTATGGGAAGGCATTCTAACAGAAGCCCATTTCATAAACCTTACCAAATTACAAGATCTGCAAGTAGGAAACAAAGACCGACCCATGTCCCTCATTTTCAACGTGGCTTATGATTGGATTCCTCCTTTCAAGCTCCACACAATTGAGATCATAAACTGTCAAGTAAGTCCCGGTTTTTGGGTATGGCTTCAAGCTCAAACTAAACTGTCTTCTGTTATTCTTCGTGGTAATGGAATGTCGGATTCCATTCCAGAGGAATGGTTGTTGCAGATATCTTCCCAACTCATCCAACTAGATTTGTCTTACAACCAATTTTGTGGAAACCTTCCATCACATTTGAAATTTCCAAATATAAATTCTATTGATTTGAGTCATAATCAATTGGAGGGCCCACTCCCACTTTGGTGGTCCACTAATGTCTTTTCTCTTGATCTTGAAAGCAATTTTTTTTCCGGACCAATTCCCTCCAATATTAACCAAATGATGCCTAATTTGAAAACTCTGTATCTTTCTGAGAATCATTTGAATGGCACTATTCCTCCCGGTGTTTGCAATATGGAGCAATTGAAAATCTTGTCCCTGAGGAGCAATCAATTTTCTGGGGAATTCCTTCGTGCATGGAGTGTGGAGAGCAATATGATGTTTCTAGATGTTGGTTACAACAATCTCTCTGGTAATATTCCTAGTTCATTGGGGGTATTAAGTTCACTTCGAATATTAAAGCTCAACAACAACAATTTGGCGGTGAAATACCCGATTCCTTGCAGAATTGTTCTAGTTTGGAGAGTATGGATCTTGGGGACAACAAGTTAACTGGCAACATACCTCTATGGATAGGAGGATCAAATTCATCCATGTGGTGTATGCTACGATTACGGTCCAACTATTTCAGTGGACATATTTCCCCACAATTGTGCAATCTTCACCACCTTCATATCCTTGACCTCAGTCACAACAACCTTTCAGGTACTATTCCCATGTGTTTAAATAATTGGACTTCACTGGTGGACGATTCCAATACAAACTCTACAGGTTATATTGAGCAAGCCACACTAACACTAAAAGGAAGCGAACTTGTGTACAACAAGACTCTGATGTTGGTAAAGAGCATTGATCTTTCATCAAATAATTTACAAGGTGAAATCCCTCAAGAAATAAGCAGCCTCATTTTATTGGGTACGTTGAACTTGTCAAAGAATCAATTGACTGGAAGGATCCCCTCCAAGATTGGAAACTTACATTTGCTTGAAACTCTTGATCTCTCACACAACCACCTTTCAGGTCAAATTCCTCAAAGCTTGTCATCTTTGACCTCTTTGTCCCACTTGAATTTGTCTTGCAACAACTTGTCTAGAAGAATTCCTTCTGGAAACCAACTTCAAACGCTCAATTTTTCGTCCATTTATATGGACAATCCATTGCTATGTGGTGCTCCTCTCTCAACTAAGTGCCCTGAAGATGACAATTTTACTACTAAGGATGCAAAAGACAAAAATGAAGATGGTGACAATGATAAATTGTGGTTCTCTGTCAGCGTGGTACTTGGCTTCATCGTAGGCTTTTGGAGCGTTTGCGGCATATTGATCTCAAAGACATCATAGAGGTATGCCTGTTTTCATTTCTTCGACAACATCAAAAATAAGGCAGTACTAGCAATTGTATTGAAAGTGGCTCGGTTCTGAATAATGTTTTTAGAAGTTTGATTGTACTATGTAAATGTGATGTTTTTTCTTTCTACTTTGGGTTTTTGATACTTGCAACTTATGTATTGAATAAAAGAATTCTAGCTTTCAATTATGTATTAATCTGCAACTAATAAAAAATTCTAGTTTGTAATCAATCGCATAATACCAGATATATGCGACGGTTGTGTATTCAATGTTGCACTTTAACAAAATAACACTTTGTTCATAAAGTAGATAAGCGCACGTATGTATTCTCTTCTTTTACACTTGCAGAGAAAATGTAGCTTAAATTATACTGGAAAGGGAAAATACAACCTTAATCAAGTATTCCACGCGATGTCTCATCCTTGTATGTATGAAACCCTCTAAACACTGCAAAAGAATATGCACAAAATGAGATTGAGATCAAACATGTCAAATGAAGAAATGCATATATATTAATCAGTGAAGACATAGTACACTTCCAAGCTGCACTCACAGTCATAAGTTATAGACGGACAGAACAAAAAATTGTGCAGGACAAGGACTAACAGCATGAAAAAGTTGGTTCAACATTACTTCTAAATGAAGTTCAGAAAAACTGAACGACAAGCTGTAAACAAGAGTAAATCAGAAAGAGCAAAAACATACACAACAAAGAAAAAAAATCTTACTTCCTCATGCACATAAGTACCAACTTTATACAATTTTCAGATCATACCATATCCAGTCATCTATAGAAAGTAATTTGACATAGTTTGTTCAGGTGATGAGGACAAAAGATGGAAGTAACAAGTTTAGGTGAAAAAGGTTACACCTTAACATGGTAACTAACATTGCAAGTGACCCTTTACCATAGTGGTGGAAGGGTGTTGAACTCTTACATGACGGCGTAGGTTCAAATCTCATCGGTCGCTAATCTAACATCTAATATAACAAAATCTATCGTTTAACTAAAAAAAAAAAAAAAAAAAAAAAACATGGTAACTAACATTAGCATGGTGTTCGGTTTTATCAATGAATTAGTTTAGAATATTGCTAGTATCAGAAATAAGTAAAAATAAACAAAAATCCCACATATAAATCATCCTCAATTGCATTGCAAAATGCCTCTTTCTTCTCTCTTCCAATCCCTTTCATCAGTTATGATTTATTTTCCACATATAGCGATCTCATCCAAGCATCATTATCATCTACTCCTACGCGGATTCACCAGAATTCGAAAAATTCCGAAGAAAATGTCTTGTAATCCCCATTAGTGAAAGCCAAATAAGACAGTCTAGTCCCCCTCCCCACTTGCACTTTCCCTGCAATTTCATGGTGTGACAGCGTTGGCATTTGGCATTTGATTTCATTTTTTTCTAGTCAGGACGTGTTTCAAACACAATAATACATCATGGAAAGTTATATACTTTGAGTATTCCAAACACAATAATACATCATGGAAAGTTATATACTTTGAGTATTCCAAACCCAATAAATACATCATGGAAAGTTATATACTTTGAGTATTCCAAACACAATAATACATCATGGAAAGTTATATACTTTGAGTATTCCAAACCCAATAATACATCGTGGAACGTTCTCCTAATCTCAATTACAATTCGACCAGCCAAACATATATTCATACCAAAATCATCAGTATATACAACCAATAAAGTCATACACCCTTCCATTATTGCTTCAACTACGTAAGTAAAAAACTTGATCCTAGTTGATTATTTTTTGTAACCCACAACTTACCGTTGGACTGAACTTTTACGCAAGGAGGAATGACTCTTTGCGAGTTGTTTGCACTCAAAATATACCCATTTTTACTTATTTGGGTAATTTGGGTAAAATATGGCATTTGGAGGATTAATGAGCAAGAAGACTAATTTTGAAGATATTTAGCTATCAAGTGGAGGGGTTTGACACTATAATATTGTTTCTCCCATTTGTTTGAGTGGTGGAGGTTTGTCAAGCCTTTGTTTAATCAACAAATTGCATGCTTGCAAAAGGGTTGGAAGGCAACATACGGATATGGATGCAGAGAACATGTGAAAGAAGCCAACTTGCTTCTTTTAAAGGTTAGTTTATTACAAGTGGGAAGACATGTGGTGAAAGTATGTGGTGGAAATGCAAGTGCCCCTTTTAATATTATTTCTCCATGCAAGTTGGCAAGTGAAATACAAACTGCCCAAGTTTCTTTCGGGCAGATGCAATGTCCTCAGCAGGGGGGTTTCTTCCAGACCTCTATATAAAGGAGCACAAGCACAAGGATTAGAGACACTCAAAATAACCAATCAAAACTCTACTCAAATTAGCTCATCAGCTTCCTTGTAGACATTTATTTTTAGCCAAGCATCCTTTGCTTTTCTTGTTTATTAGCTCTGCTACTCACTTGTAGTATCGATCTTATTTGTAGCTTTTATGTACAACCTTCTTTTAGTCATTTAATCTACAAGCAATCTGCAATATTAGTCACTTTCCTCTGTCATTTATATTTCCAAGCAACATTATCATTCACATATTGTTCTATCTCTCTATATAAGTAAAGTCCTTATTTTTAAGGCAAACAAAGAACCTTAATTTGAGTAACTCCCACTCAATGGCACAATCTCTTGGTTTGAAGTCAAACTCAGGTGCAACCTCAATCATTCAAATCCCGTCTACTAGCAGCATCTAGTAGTGGCACGCCCGCACCCCACCAATCTCGTATGTGAGCAAATTCCCGGCATGCCCGCAAGGCCCATGGCGGATTTAGGGAGCAAACATATTTTGGCACGCTCGGTGGGATACTTATATGAAGTTAGATCATGAACAATCCTTATGTTCATGATTTTTCTGCTTTTTCGGAGTATGAGGAGGATGGCGGTGTTGAAGAACGCCCAAACTATGGCTATCACATAGAGCCAACTTATGAGTTGCCAACTTATGGGTACATGGCTAAAGAATACTCAAGGCCCATGGAATATGATTGTCGGCCAACTAATGGCCATCAAATAAATAATAATCTTGAAGATTGGCCAACTTATGGCTATGATGAAGGTTATTATTCTTTTGAAGACAATCACCCTTTTGAATACTATGATAGGCCAACCAATGGCTTTGAGTATCAAAAGGCTTCCAATGAGTACATAGAGCCAATATATGAAATGCCAACTCATGATCATCCAGATGAAAAGCTCTGCAGAGAGGATGTGGGCAAATTAGAGAAGGTGTCCAAACTCCATATGGCAAGCATCGAATATGGTGAAGAGGTGACTAAGTGTTTTAGAAAGGTGGAGGAAAGCTATACAACTTTTGGAGAAACTTTGAGAAAGTTGATAGATCAAATGTGTCAAATCCCCTCTACAAAGCACACTCACCCTACTACAACCAAGGAAGAACAAATCATACACGTTGATGAAGGCCAAACAATGGCCCCACCCAATGAAAAATCTATGAAAATAGATATGGTTGTAGAAGACCAAGCCGACATATCGAAACCGATAACGGCTAAGATGGAGCTTGTGGCTATTGTAGGCCAAACACCGACGCTCGGGGGGCTCGAACTCACACCTCATGTGGAGCCCGAAGAAGAAGAAAAAAGCTCATACACTCCTCCCCGCCAACACAAGCATGTCATCCAAACTGAGATCTCAAGGAGGACAAAGCTTGGGGTCAAACATGAATGGCCATCTCCTATGGTTCCCAAGCTACATGGCATGGCCAGTTTAAATGATGGATATGATCTCTCTACAGTCAATTTTAAAAAGAGCAAAAGATTTGAGTGTTAAGAGATATCTGGGCAATCAAGGGGTTTGACCAATAAGCCCAAGTTGTTGTTTCCTCTTTTGCTCGAAGTAGGTTTCCTGATCCTTTCTTTTCTTTGCTTTCTCTCATTTCTCCTTTCTTTCTTCTTTCCTTTTCTCTCTTTTTGCCTTCTTGTCTAAAAAGACCTTTCTTTTGTTTACTTACTTTTTGATTTCAAAAAAAGAACAAAACACCAAAAACAAAAGAAAAGCTAAAAAGAAAAATAAAAAAATGTGTACCCTTTTTCTCATATTTTGCCCGAAGGGGGTATAGTTCATGTTTCTATTAAAGACTTTCTTTTTGGTGTGGTTTGCCCGAAAGGGCTGTCTCTATCTCTCCCCTTTTCTTTATTATTTATTATTTTTCTTTTTTCAAGCTATACTTTACCCAAACGGGCTTCATGGTATTTTACTATATAATATTATCCATGTATGATTTGAAAGCATTTAGCTCGTATGGGCTGTGTGTGTGTGTGTCTCTCTCTCTCTCTCTATATATATATATATATATATATAATATAATAGTATTCTTTTACGTTGCCCGAAAGGGGTTTTGTTCTTGTTGTTTTTGTTGCCTGTTATCTTCCGTTTTATTTACCCTTTCTTCCTTTTTCCAACTTGCTTGTCAAAGGCCTAGCTTTCTTTCTTTTTATTTGTCTCTTTCCTCTTTCCAGTTGCCCGAACTGAGTTATGTGATGAATATAAAAAAAAAAAAAAAAAAAAAAAAAAACAGAAAATATAAAGAGTTAGCCAGTTTGTGAGTAGCCATTTTTACCCTTCTTTCCACTTTTCTGTCATCCAATGGGTGTATTTAGCCCGAACCCAAAAGTTGAAATTAGAAAACCATCCAGTGGCTATACCCAAATTCATGGAGTGAGGAGTTTCATAAAAAGCCGAAACTATGGCTTTCCTGCAGAAAAGCATGTCATCTGTTTCTCAATGGCTATTGTAAGAAAGCATGGGGTTATCTTACCCGACTGATGGTGCCCGATGGAACCATAACCATGCCTGATGGAACTAACGTCTTCCCTGCTCACCACCAACAGACTCTGCATGTCTCCCCAACTCTCACCAGCTCCTACAACCAAGGGTCGGGCTACTTCGACGACTACCATTGGAGGCTACAGTTAGAGCTTTTGATGTGGCTACTATTAATCACTGGAGACTAGTTTTCATGGGTGAGAAAATAGAAAAATGGAGCTGCATCTAAATGTGAAATTCGAAAGCTGGAGGAAGATGATAGAAAATTATGTTGTTGTGGCCCGACGGAACGACAATTTTGCCCGAAGGACATGATATCTTCTCCACTACAATTGATTTAGATATTGTCAATCAAATGTGGGGCCCCACATTCGATCTGGCAAACATGAAGTGTTCTTGTTACATACTGCGCTGGTTGCTCTGTTTCCTGCACACCCTCTTTGTTATGGTAGAAAGGTAGAAAGGGGTAGAAAGGTCCTCGTCAGCCAAGAGGATGATGAAATTGGCTTTGCTGTTTGGAGCTTCTGCTTTGAGAGACATCTCTTCACTTCTCCTAATTCCAAAGATGCAAAGTTTAGGAACGAAGAAGGATTGTTCTCTCTCTTTTTTCTTTTTCTTTTTTATCTCTTTTGTCCCCTCTTTTACCCGAAAGAGGGACTTCTTCTCTCTTTCTTTTTGTTTTTTTTATTATTATTTCTCTTTCTTTCTTTTTCTTTCTCCTTGTCTCCTTGTCTCTCTCTTTCTTCCATTTTGCCCATTAGGGCTCTCTATATATCTATATTATACTACTTGAAAGGAGACAAGTACTTACTCTCTTTATATATTTGGAATATATTATATTATAGAAAAAGAGTTAAAAAAGAGAATCTGGGCACTTTGCCCGAAAGGGCTCTATATATATATATTATACTTGCCCGAATGGGCCTTCTACCTATATTTGTATATGTATTATATTATTATATTATATTACATATGAAAAGAGGCAAAAAGAAAAAGAACAATAAAAATAATAGTTGCCCAAGTTTATTTTTCTCTTATCCCTCTTTTCTAGTTTGCCCGACTTTGGGCATTTGTCCAGTTTATTATCTATGTAATCAGTGAGGTTGCTCCCATGTTTTTTGGTATCCACAAGAAGGAATACAAGCCAGACATAAACATTCTTTCCAATGCTAGTTGCACTACCAATTGCCTTGCTGCTCTTGCCAAAGTTTATCAACGACAGAATGACCAAAGAGGTAGACGTGCCTCTTCCTTCGACATCAATCCTGGCAACATTGGAGTCGTAAGTTTCACAAACTTTGCTCAAATTTGTAAAACTTGGGGGGCACTGTTTGCACTCAAAATATACCCATTTTACTTATTTGGGCAATTTGGGTAAAATATGGCATTTGAAGGATTAATGAGCAAGAAGACTAATTTTGAAGATATTTAGCTATCAAGTGGAGGGGTTTGACACTATAATATTGTTTCTCCCATTTGTTTGAGTGGTGGAGGTTTGTCAAGCCTTTGTTTAATCAACAAATTGCATGCTTGCAAAAGGGTTGGAAGGCAACATACGGATGTGGATGCAGAGAACATGTGAAAGAAGCCAACTTGCTTCTTTTAAATGTTAGTTTATTACAAGTGGGAAGACATGTGATGAAAGCATGTGGTGGAAATGCAAGTTCCCCTTTTAATATTATTTCTCCATGCAAGTTGGCAAGTGAAATACAAACTGTCCAAGTTTGTTTCGGGCAGATGCAATGTCCTCAGCAGGGTTTTCTTCCAGACCTCTATATAAAGGAGCACAAGCACAAGGATTAGAGACACTAAAAACAACCAATCAAAACTCTACTCAAATTAGCTCATCAGCTTCCTTGTAGACATTTATTTTTAGCCAAGCATCCTTTGCTTTTCTTGTTTATTAGCTCTGCTACTCACTTGTAGTATCGATCTTATTTGTAGCTTTTATGTACAACCCTCTTTCAGTCATTTAATCTACAAGCAATCTGCAATATTAGTCATTTTCCTCTATCATTTATATTTCCAAGCAACCTTGTCATTCACATATTGTTCTGTCTCTCCATATAAGTAAAGTCCTTATTTTTAAGGCAAACAAAAAACCTTAATTTGAGTAACTCCCACTCAATGGCACAATCTCTTGGTTCGAAGTCAAACTCAGGTGCAACCTCAATTATTCAAATCCCATCTACTAGCGGTATCTAGTAGTGGCATGCCTGCACCCCACCAATCTCGTATGTGAGCAAATCCCCGGCATGCTCGCAAGGCCCATGACGGATTTAAGGAGCAAACACGAGTAAACAACTTGACTACCTCATTGGGCAGCAGTCTTGCAAGTTGCAAACCTGTAAATTACAATCTTAGTAACCTGCCAAGTCCAAATTTTCTTGATCTCGGGTTGAATTATGACTTATCTTTTAGAAACTTGAATTGGCTTTCTCACCTCTCTTCCCTGTAATATATTAATCTCAATTCCGTTGACCTTCGCAATCAGTTGGCCATATAATATTAACATGCTTCCTTCGTCATTAGAGTTACATTTATCTTTTTGCCAAATTGAAAGCCTTCCAGTCTCACTACAGAGGATTAAATTGACATCACTTTTGATCCTTGATATGTTGCAGAATGGTATTCAATTTCTCAGTTGGTTTTTAATCTTACCAGCCTCATAACGCTTGATTTGTCCGGGAATAATTTCAATGGTCCTTTTCCAAGTGAATTTTCAAACTTCAAATCTCAGAAATACCTTGATTTATCTTCTACGGGCCTAAAAGGTCACAATCCCAAGGGCATTGGAAATTTATGCAAGCTAAAGTTCTTAAGTCTTACACAAAACTATTTGTGGGGCTCAATTCCATAATCCATTGGAAAATTGTCATCCTTAAAAACATTTGACATGTCTCACAACCAATTTTGTGAAAACTTTCCATCCCATTTGAAATTTCCAAATTTAAAGTCTATTGAATTAAGTGATAATCAGTTGGAGGAACCACTTCAACTTTGGTGGTCCAGTAATGTCTCTTCCCTTGATTTTGAAAGCAATTTATTTTTCGGACCTTTTCCTTGGAATATTGACCAGATGATGCCCAATTTGATAGATTTGTATCTTTCTGAGAATCATTTGAATGACATTATTCTTCCTTTTATCTGCAACATGCAACACTTGGGATTTTTGCCTCTAAGGAGCAATTAATTTTCTGGAGAATTTTATCATGCATGGAGTGTGGGGATCTATATGTTGTTTGTAGATGTTGGTCACAACAATCTCTCTAGTCATATTTCCAGTTCATTTGGGGTATTAAGTTCACTACAAGAATTAAAGCTAAACAACAACAATTTTGGTAGTGAGATTCCTGCTTCCTCGTAAAATTGTTCTAGTTCAACGTATTGATCTTGAAGACAATTTATTTGGGAAAACACCTTTATGGATAGGAGGATCAAATGAATCTATGTTGTATATACTATGATTACAGTCCAACTACTTTAGTGGACATATTTCCCGGCAACTGCACAATCTTTGGAGCCTTTATATCCTCGACCTTAGTCACAACAGCCTTTCAAGTACTATTCCCTTATGTTTAAGTAATTTGACTTCGTTGGTTAGTGATTCAAATACGTACTCTACTGATTATCTTGAGCAAGCCACACTGACACCAAAACGAGAAGAACTTGTGTACAACACGACTCTAGATCTTGTAAAGAGCATTGATCTTTCATCAAAGTATTTACAAGGTGAAATCCCTGAAGAAATAAGTAGCCTGATTCTATTGGCACTTGAATTTGTATATGAATCAATTGACTGGAAAGATCCCTTTCCAAGGTCAAAAACTTTCGTTGGCTCAAAACTGTTGGTCTCTCACACCACCTATCGGGATAGATTCCTCAAAGCTTGTCATTTAAAATCTCTTTGTCCCACTTGAACCAGTTTTACAACAACTTGTCCGAAAGAAATTATTCAGGAAATCAGCTTTAAACGTTCAATGTTTTGTCTCGTTATATGGAAAGTTCATCGCAATGTGGCGTTCCCCTCTCAACTAAGTGCCATGGAGATGACACTTTCGCAGCTAAGGATGCAAAAGACAATAATGAAGATGGAAATGATGATAAGTTGTGGTTTCAAAAGACAAGAATGAAGATGGAAATTATGATAAGTTGTGGTTCTCAGTCAGCATGATACTTGGTTTCATCGTAGGCATTTGGGACGTTTGCGGCATGTTGATCATAAAGACATCATGGAGGTATGCCTATTTTCAATTCTTCGACAACACCAAAGATGAATCGAAGATAGATTGCTCATAAAGAAAACTTATCCATTCAAGAAATGGTAGGATTAGAAATGATGATTTTCTTCATATCTAATCATTTTCTATTTCCTTCCAAATGAAAAACCATTCACTTTCACCTTCAATATACCTTTGAACTTGAGAGTTCTCCATTCCAATCTAATCATGTGTATCAAACAAACCGTACAGGTGAGTAGAAAATCTCACCTTTAGGCCTAAACTCTTTCGTTAAACAATTACCACAATGGCAAGGTTCTTCTAACCAGAAATTTTATAAGTTATGGTTGAATTTTCTTTTAGTTTAGTTTTTCAACAAAAAGTCCTAACAACTTGGGAAAAAACTAATTAAAATTAAAATTTGATTTGTTTGGGTGTGTCAAGCCTAAGTGCAACACATGGCGACGCGTGATAGCTTCAATAACAAGTTATTGTAGTAGGCTCTTTCATAAAAAATTAATTAATTTAATATCGTGTAGATCATTGACTCACGTATCAAATATTAAATTGATAAAAACAGATAATATACTTGATCTTAACTAAAAATCAGAAAAAAAGTATGCTTATTCTCTTATGAGAGAATTTTCAGTGTGACCGGAACACGGGGTGGTACACCACGTGTCACTATACAAATGGTGGGATATGTGTGTTAAAAAATTAATAACTTAAAAATAAAATTTATCACCACTTATATAGAAACGTGGTGTCCCACTCGTGTTCTGATCATAATAAAAAATTTCTCATTCTCTTATGATGCAACCTATTATTTGCTTAACCTTTTGTAAGTGGCGAGAGTTCTCTTCTTGTGATATCCCCTTAGACCATCTTCAAATGAGATGTCAAATATGCCAAATAGGATTAAAAAGACATTTATGTGTTCTCCAATGGATATGCCATATATAATATGACATGTGAGTCATTTGAGTTATTGCTTTTTAGCTGCCTTTTTTGATAGCAAACAAAGAATGAGTCAAATATATTTAATTGAATTTTTTTAATACATGGGTCTCATTAACAACCAATAGAATAAAAACTACAATTATTTTTTATTATTTTTTAATAATTAATGTAACTCTAGGCCCAATAAAATAATAAAATAAATATTTGACACATCCATTGGAAAAGAAGAGAATTTAACACTTGTATTCAATTTGTCACGTCAGCCATCAAATAAAATTTTGACATATTATATTTGACATCTCCTTTGGAGAAGCTTTTACCTTGTCTATGTTGATCGACCTTGTGCAAAGAAATAAATCTCGCAGCCTCGTACTTATTACTAAAACCATTGGGTTCTGGTTGCATATGAGATTAATTAGTACTATGGTCTAGTCATATTCTTTTTCACTTGTAAGTGAGAAATCATAGGTTCAATTCTCGCCAAAGGGAAATTTGAACTACATTATTGCTAGCCCATTGTGAGACTTAGCCCACCCCTCCCCCTTAAGCCATCTCCAACCGAAATGGCTAAACATAGCACCATCTAGAAATAAAGCCCTGTAAAAAAATATTTTTAAATGAACAATATCAGACCATATTTATATACAATTTCCAACCGAAGAGGCTAAACATAGTCCTCTCAATAATTTATTAGTTTTAAAGTTTATACTTTAAATTTATTGGTTAATCTAATTAAACTATTGTTGAATGTTTTCAAATCTAGTCGTTAAATTTGAATCAATTATTGCAATTAAGGAGTTGAGCGCCAAAAAAGGGCTAAAGGGGGGGGGGGAGGGGGGCTATATTTAGTCAGATGCTTCTTGGCTAAATAATGGCCTGATAAGCTATATATAATTATAGTCTAGTCATCGGTTGGAGATGATTTTTTGGACAAGTCATATCATTTTTTGGCTTTTAGACATTTAATCTTCTCTATTGGAGATGACTTTAGCGTAGATAATGTAATTTGTTAAAAAAAAAACAATAAATGGAGAAATTGACAACTTGTAATTAAAAATTTATTTAAAACGAAAAAAAATACAAGAGGACGAATTGCTATTTGCATCATATTTTGGGCACTAAGTTTCTGATTAAAACTCCGAGTGCTTGGTATGAAGACCCATTTTCCATCAAAGCAATCCTACTCTTCTCTCTCATCTCTTTCACCCTACCTCTCACCACATCACCACCGTTCATCAGCCGCTTTATGCTTATATCCACCTCCTCTCCCATCACCAAATCACTACCCTCTCTATAATCCAGCCTAATCTCAATTGCCAATCTCAATTCCTTCACCATCTCAAAGGCATTCATTTGTTGCTCCGCGTAAATCGGCCACGTGGCAATCGGTACACCGTACCACAAGCTCTCGAAAATCGAGTTCCAACCACAATGCGATGTGAACCCTCCGATCGATTGGTGGGCCAAGATCTGCGCTTGTGGGATCCACCCGCACACCATGCCCAATTCACATGTCCGCTCCAAGAACCCATTGGGCAACACATCTTCCACGTTCGCGTGGTCGCTTGGGAGATCCAATTGGGACTTGGGCGGCTCACGTAATGCCCATATGAATCGGACCCCGGCACGTTCAAGCCCATATGCTATCTCCCGCACCTGTGGTCCACTAAGACTCCCCATGCTTCCGAAGCATAACAACATGACCGATGATGAGGGCTGGTCATCGAGCCACCTGATGACGCTTTCATATTGGTTTAAATCCCGCTTTTGAGTCGGTTCGTAAAGATCAAGAACCGGCCCAATTGGGTAAACCTGTGGCACTTGACTCGTATTCAACGAGTCAAGTGCATGCCGCTCCAATTCTCTAAACTATTCACAACAATACCCTTTGTTTCGGTGTACCTTCGCGCGTGGGATAGATACCACGAGTATGCATCTCCCTTCTATTCAACACGGCTGTTGGTAAAACGGGTGGTGGCACCGAGTTGACAAAACCCGGTATGCTCAACTCGGTGCCCAAGTCAATGAACTCGGCGGGGGTTTTGGGCATCCAAGAATGGTAAGTGGAGCATAAAGCTCAGAAAAGTTGCTGGGGGAGCAAAATACAGGTAACAAGTAATGTCAAGCTCGTTAGCAACCTCAATCATGGAAGTACAAAACATGTCAACAAAAAACCCTACAACCCGGTCCGAGTTAGATGAGTTTGACTCGGCCGAGTGGGACGACATGAGTTTGGTGATTGCATTCTTTACGTGGGGTTTGTGGTTTTGTATGAGTAGGGATATGTAGCCCATGGTGGACCCGTACTGGTCCGGCGAGGGCGGGTCCACCAGAGTCAGGCGGAGGAAGGTGATGCTAGTTGACGTGGCAACACGGGATTAGATGTAAGGATGTAAGCGTTGACAATGGGCCTTTGGGACATGGTGATGATGAGGATGGTGGCGTGTAAACGACGGTCATGATTGACAAGGAGCTGAGCAAACTCGACGAGTGGGACAAGGTTTCCGATTCCAGAGTTGAGATGAAGACTACATGAAATTTGGCCATGGTGATTTTTTTGCTGTATGGTTTTGTTTGGTGGTGTTATCTTTTCTTGTGAATTTTGATCCACATATAGGACCTTAAATAATATATAATCGGAACGAATACCTTGGAATCGTAAAATACTCACAGCAGGATGCTTAAATTCATCGCTCGTTGACAAGAAAATAGGTCGAAGGTAGGCCCATTAATTTGGAATTACATGCTCCATTATTGTACCAATTAGCCTGCCGGAACATATAAATAAGATCGTAACGTATAGGTAACAAATAAGATAAAGAGTAATGATATGGGGACCAATTATTTAGATCAAATTTAGTAAATTATATGACGTAATTGTTAATGATTGAATTATTACTTAACTTTTCTTTAACGTGTTTATTTTTATTAATGATACATCTATATTTTACAACTTTGATAAAAAAAATTAGTCTGCCTAGCTTTACTCCAAGCTAAATATTATTCTATAGACAACAAATGAAATATCATATTACCACTTTTATTGAAACTATAATACTAAAAGGGATGGATTGAGTATAAAATCAAGAGAAGTGCTTATTGGAATATTTAGTTCATAAACAATTCACATTTGCTTCGTCACTCTTTATGAAAGAGAATTTAATCCACCCTTTTCTTTTGACGAAATACCAGTTTAGGTTAATATATTTTCTTATATATAAGAAATTTTGATTTTGTTATAAACAACAAAAAATTTAAGGGTCCCTTCGATAATCACTTTATATTTTGTTTAGTTTTCATTTGTTGTGATAGAGATAGAGAGAAAATATATGGAAGAATATGAGAAATGGCCGAAAGAGATAATGCACATGGGGAGAAATTAAGAAGGGTAGATAGATGGAGAAAGGAGGGAGAAATGAAGAAGAATGTGGGAAACAAAACTAGAAAATAAAACCTTTAGGTTTCCTTTCATGTATAATTGTTTTTACTTATTTCATGTATATTTATTCCCGTTCACTCCCACCATTCTTTTTCTAGGTGAAAAATAAGGGACCAAGCGATATTAGCTATTCGTCCGCAATCATGGGCAAGACACCTACTCCTGTTCGAAGTGGAAAATATTGTTGCATCAAGAAACCCTTGGCTCATCCCCCTCTACCAATTTTTATTAATAGAATAACAAGAAATGAAGGAAAAAAGAGAGGCCTTGGACATGTATATATACAAGCCGCAAACTTCAGGATTGACGACTACCGAATCATAAGCCTATAATGCAACTCTATAAGAAGCTAACGTATATATCTGCAGTTAGGCTACCTTCATGAAAATATATGTACATAATGAAACTCGTTTGACAAAGAAGATATAATCAATTACTCCAATCAACCAACAACAAGCGAAACACTATAGTCGGAGCCTTGTAAAAGAGGTGAAGAAAGTCTGTAACTTTTTTCTATCTAAAGGAGCTTCAAGTCAGGAAACCTAACCATAATCCGTCGACGGCAAAAAAAAAGACAACGGAGAAGAAAATTTTCATCGTGAGAGGAACATATGGTACATTACGTATTATTATGTCAATGGTGGAAAGTTTTATTCTTTAAGTTGTTAATTTCATAACACTAGTATCTCACCACTTGTATAACACAAGTATCTCACCACTTTAAGTTTCACGATCACATCAAGGAAATAAACGAAAGGAGAGTATTTATAATTGTTGTTTCCTACATTGTCCCACCTACCGACCTCCACCTCTGCTCATTCCTTATTTCTCTCTTGTATTTCTCCTGTATTACTAACAAAAAATGGAAACTAAAACTTATAACTTGCCCTAAAATCTTTATGAACTTGAGTTGAGGAAACGTGAGACAATTGACATGTGAGTCAAGTGCAGGATAGGTAACACAAGCCAATTCAATATATCTCATTTCAATTCCTAACTTCAATTTGACTTTTCTATTAAACCTATATGGCTGAAAATGTTGTATCTTGTGTCTTTGAAGACTAGCTGAACTCTTACAAGACCTATAGGGCAAAATATTGCACCTGCTCCTGCCATTGTCAGGGAAAGAGAGCTAGCTAGATGAATTCATGAAGATAAGCTTTCTTCAAAAGCCATTATAAATAAATAAATGTAGTGTAATTTCAAATCTGACTCATC